AAGTAGTTGAGCTTGAATATGCTGGAGAAACCATAAAAAGGATTGTCTTATTTAAGTGTGAATGGTTTGATCCAACACGCCCAATAGGGACATATAAACATAACCATTACAATATAATTGAGATTAATCATACCAAAAGATTTAGAGGCTTTGACCCTTTCATCATTGCACAAAATGCAAGACAAGTATATTTCTTATCTTACCTTGGAAAATGTAATAAAAGTTGAAAGATTGTAATAAAAATTAAACCAAAGAGTCGAATTGAAAGTGATGAAGTAGGTGATGAAGATGTATATCAAATTGATGACTCAATTTATTCACGTATAGTAATAGACACTGTTGTCCCTCCAAATTTATCTTCTCCTTTGAATGAAATTGAAATAATTGACCCTCCTACCCAAGTTTTGAGAAATAATGAAATGGATGACATGACGGAAGATGAAGAAGAAGGATTTATGGATGAACTTTCATCGAGTGATGATGAAGATAGTCTTGAACTATCAGAGTAAATGAGGTAAATTAAGTAGGTTTGTCAATTTACTATGTTTTCATGATTATTTATTTTGAGTTATCACCAATATTAATAATATTTTATAGCGATTATGGTTTTGTCTCTAAACATATATTGTATTTGATTCATATATGGCAGGTAAAGGTAAGAAAGATGTTGCTTAGCGTCCTGATCGTAGTAACACTTCTTCACCCACCGCTCCCACTTCGACCTCCACATCAGTTATAGTGTAGACCTCCCAGGTTAGGGGGCAAGAGCAATCTATCATGGTGTCCAATCCTGGGTATATTGCTCCTCCTCCTCCAGTACAACGAGTTTCACACTCTGCACCGCCTACTACACGGGCCACACAGTCACCTACTACATAGGGCACAAAAGAGGGATCCACTGCTGTCCCAGCTGTAAGTGAGTAGCAGTCATCACAGACACAAACATCATTGAGATCGTCACAAACTTTGAGATGGGATGGGTCCACTTGGTAAGTTTCCTTCAAAATATGTTAAACATTACGTATATTTGTGTGAATGTTATACTAATTGTTTTATTTTATTGTGTTATCAGTTGGATGCCACTATAGAAAGGTCTCCACCAAGTCACAGATACCATTAAGAAGATGTATGATGCGTCTTACACAAGTTTTGCAAAGGTGCCGAAGGATACAAAGATGGAATGGTTTAAAGATTGGAAGATAATAATAGTGTATTAATTTTAACTAAGTGTAATTACATATTACTGTTTGTACCTCTTCTAATGAAATTATGTTTATCTAGAGCAACTTCTCTATTTCTCTCTAGGACGAAAAGATGATTTTCAAGGCTTGGAAGAGTTGCATTGCAAAGCGATTAAGACAGATGTACATTGAGACTCGTCAAGACCCTTCTACTACTGATTGGATAGCACCCAACTTTCTTCATGCCTTGCAGGAGTATTGGGGGTACGGATAAGTTTAAAAATCTCTCCGTGAAGAACAAGACAAATAGGGCATCTAATAAGGGGGGGATCACTATATACTGCTGGGTCTACGACTTTGGCTAGCACTAAGGCGAATTTGGTATGTGATTTTAAAATTGATTTTACTCTATCTATAATTTTATATTTGAGATTGTGATTTATTTCAAATTGCAAAAGAAGTCATTGAAGAGGCCACCTACGACTGGAGAGTTGTTCAAGGAGACACACGCGTAGGGTAGACAAAAACCTGTGAGTTGATACACGATCTCAGGCCACATATGTAAGTCATTCTTATTAACATTATATGTTATTATTAGTGATTTATTAAATAGTTTTCTAAACTAATATCTAATTATCTGAATTGAACTATAGGATGACTATGTGGTCACAGACAGTGGGTGACCTTTATAAAGGTCGCATTTATGGCATAGGGGGTCGCTTTGTAGACTCCATGTCCCCTCCATCTATCAACAGAGATGTCCATTCTCTTGCACCTGAGGAAGTGGAGGACATGGTCCGCATTCAGGTCCATGCCTTCAATGAAGAACTCCAGAAACAGAATGAGGAGATGTGGAAGACCAAGAAAAGTGCATGGAAGAAAAAGTGAGCAAAGAAAATGGAGAAAAGGATAGAGAAGAAGGTGACATCGAGAATGCAAAGGGAGGTCCAGCAGTAGATGAAGCAACAACATATGCAGATGCATGCTTATTTTGAGCTCATGAGAGCAAGCAGCTCCACAGCTCTTCCTCCTCCTCCACTTGCTCCAGCACCACTGATTTTCAACTCCATGCATCATTCATCTTCCGATTCCTCGTCTACTGATGATGATACTCCTTTGGATGATGATCATATAGATTATTCATGATAAACACATGTATTTTATTTTTAACATTATTTATTTGTATGTTTTTGTCTTCTTTTGTAATGACATTTAAATTTTATATTTTATAAATCATTTTTGAATGTTTAGATGCCTAATTTATAGTTTTTATTATGTTTATAAATTGTGATAATCAGGAACAATTACAAATAACTACCTATATAAACAAAAAAATACCAATAATAATAAAATATACCACAGACAAATTACAAACAGAAAAATTTGTCTGTGACTTATAGATGAATTTTTTTGTCTGTAAATTACAGACAAATTTTTCTGTCTATAACTTACAGATGGATATAATTCTTTACCAACAAGGATATTATAAACGGTTTGTGTCTGTCTGTAAATTTGTCTTTAATTTCAAAAATCGTCTGTAATAGTTTAAAAATCTATCTATACATACAGGTTTTTTTAGTAGTGGTATTATTTTAATCACCTAACTTATATCTTATATATTACTAATAATATAAATTTAAAATATTTTTTAATATGTATCGAATAACATACAATAAAAAATTTATGTAACATATTTTTATTAAAAATTATAAGAATCAATGTGTTAACAACATTAAATACTATAATTTTAATAAAAATGTATTGTACTATTATATAAATTAATTAAAAAATGAATTTACAAAATCATATTCTTACTCACAAATATGGTAAGGAATATTTAAATTAATTAAAAGTAAAAATAATCAACTTACAAATACTCAAAGGATAAATATATTTTATACCTAACTAGAATGTAATAATTTATACGTTAAAATTAAAATTTACAAAAAATAAAATAAAATTTACTGATAACACAATCCTCTTTAAAAAACTTAAATTTGGAATTACATATATAAATGCGTATGGGATAAAGAGAAAGGGACACGCATAACAATGACTTGATTTGAATATAATTAACTCATTAAATCACGATACAACTTTTGCGAATAACTTAATCTATTAATTTTTATTTAGATATAAATTTTAAATGTATGTTAATTCACATTTTAAAACGTTATTTAATTAATTATAATATTATAATTTTTAAATAGTTTCTTGTGCATTTTATATTTAATTTTAATTTAAACCATTCATATAATATTTTAATATTTATTAGTTATATATAAATAAAATTGATGAAAAAATTGACAAAAGCAACTTTACTTACTCTCAATTTACCTTAAATCAAAATCCAATATCACCTAAAAAAAATCAAATATATAAACATTTTTTTGGCACCAAATTTTACATTTACTTACTCTTTTGCTTTCTTTTATTACATCACTTACAAGATTTATTATTTTCTTTCATTATTCTTTATACTTTGAGTGAAGTGCATAGGCCCTAAAAAATGAGAAATTTTGATAGATATAATAATAATGGATGAGCATTAAGCTTAGAGAAGAAAAAGGTGGGGGGTCCCAAGACTTTAACAGCTGAAAGAAAGTGAGGGGACCAAATGAGAAACTAGAAAAGGAAAGGGTGTGTCATAATGAATGATTGAAGATGCAATTGGCCTTCAATTCAATACCACCATACTATAAAGTATATAAATATGAACAATCTCTCATACCCATATCCTTTTGGACAGTGAACAATCATGGTATGTGTATTCTGATGCCCAAAATGATGCAAAAATAACAACTCTGTCTCTTAAAATCATCAATTAATGACCCTATAAAGGTTGCTAAATACTAGTACAACTTCTATCATTCCCCACTTTATTTCATCATATAAAGCCTGGAATTTAAAATTTATAAATTAGCCTATGAAAATATCAGTTTAATGCAAATTTATTTATTGTAATAATATGTTTGAATTTATGCTGTAACTTATTCATCATATTTATAATTATAGGTCTTCTCACATAATTCAAACACACCTTAAATGACAAATGTTTGAATTTAAAAATAAATAAAGAGTTATAATTATTGATTAAAAATATTTATTATTGATCTATATTTTTAATTATAACTTTAATTGCTAACTTTTATATAATAATTAAAAATTTAATTTCTAGAAAATGACTATAACATTTTATTAAATGAGTTGTATATATCTATTTCTATATTGACAGATAAGTATGAATGAGTTGTACATTTATAATATTTTTCTATTACATTAGTTATCTTCTTTCTTTTTTTAGTTTTTTATTATACAAAAACTGATTTTGCTAATTTCAAATTTTAAAATACTGATTGCAAAATTTTAATACATTTATTAGTTAAAAATGGCTACTAAATGTAATAAAATGGTATTAAAAATGGTAAAAATAGAATTGATGTAATGAAGAAACAATAATGTTTGGCGCGTGAAATGGATCCAGAAAAGGCAACAAAAGCTGTGACTCTGACCATACACACATGCACTGATACGTCTCCACCCAACACCATCACTGTTCACTCACTAACTCACAAACTCTTCCATTCATCTATGCGCATTGCGCACTCAATTCTCTTATCTTCGCCCCTTTCCAAAATTGCTTCTCTCATCTTTTGACCTTCTTTTTTAACTCAACCACACCAGCTTTGCCATCAAACCTTACTTTATGCTATGCCACATTAGCAGCTAAACTCCAATTAGTAAGCTCCAGTTTCAAAATATTACATATTATAAACACCCCAATTCACTTGAAGCAATAATATAGTAAAGGGGTAACAACTCTTACTAGTTATACAAGTTGTGCAATCTTTTGAGGTAACGCACCCTGCAGCATTATTGTTATTATTTTTATTCATTCACCATTAATTTCCCAAGTGCATGCTCATTTATTGCTTAGAATTTGTGGTTCACCATCGTCCCAACCCAAAATTCCTTTCTCTTAATAATTGAGATTGGGTCACAGTTATTGCTAAGCAATAGTTAGCCACAGCACTTGAATAGCACTTCTGTTGTCTCTGTCCCTCTGTACCAATTCAGAACGTGTTTGGAAGAAGAAGAAGAAGCTTGATGCCAGAATTGGCATCTGGGTTCTGCAAAAGTTCACTTTTTTAATTAATGGGTTGCATTTACTCGCGCGTTTGCATAGGCGACAATTGCAGAGGCTCAAGCATCAATGGAGACCCAATTGTGAGAACTGAAGTAGAAGGCGCGTTCTCAACAACCTCTTCAGATGTTCAAGAAGCTGAAATCAGAGACCAATTGAACCAATTAAGCATAACAAGAGACTCTGAAGCTGGAATCCGAAGACTCGCTAGGGTTTCTGCGCAGTTTCTTCCACCAGATGGTTCTAGAATCGTTAAGGTTCCTTCTGGAAACTTCGAATTGCGCTATTCCTTCTTGTCACAGCGAGGTTACTACCCCGATGCACTTGATAAAGCCAACCAAGACAGTTTCTGCATCCACACGCCGTTCGGTACGAGCCCTAACGATCACTTCTTCGGAGTCTTCGATGGACACGGCGAATTCGGAGCTCAATGTTCCCAATTCGTGAAGAGAAAACTGTGCGAGAATTTGCTGAGAAATTCAAAATTTCGTGTGGACCCGGTTGAGGCATGTCACGGGGCATTTTTGGCGACGAATTCGCAGCTTCATGCGGATGTTTTGGACGATAGCATGAGTGGGACGACGGCGATCACGGTGTTGGTTAGGGGGAAGACGATGTACGTGGCGAATTCCGGTGATTCGAGGGCGGTGGTTGCGGAGAGGAGAGGGAAGGATTTGGTGGCGGTGGATTTGTCGATTGATCAGACCCCTTTTAGGACTGATGAGCTTGAAAGGGTGAAGCTTTGTGGGGCTAGGGTTCTTACGTTGGATCAGATTGAAGGGATTAAGAATCCTGAGGTTCAGTGTTGGGGTAGTGAAGAGGAAGGGGATGATGGGGACCCTCCTAGGTTGTGGGTCCCTAATGGGATGTACCCTGGTACTGCTTTTACAAGGAGCATTGGTGATTCCATTGCTGAGACTATTGGGGTTGTTGCTAACCCTGAGATTGTTGTGTTTGAGCTTACCCAAGATCACCCTTTCTTTGTTCTTGCTAGTGATGGGGTGTTTGAGTTTCTCTCTAGCCAGAAAGTGGTTGAAATGGTATGCTATCTATAAACTTCCATGGTTTTCTTTTCCCTTTTTTGGTCTCTGTCTTTTGACTCTTTTCTTTTAAGTCAGCTTTATTTTGATGCAAAAGCAAATATTCCTATCCCCCCCCCCCCCCCCTCTCCTCCTCCTTTTTTTTTTTGGTTTGTGTTGTTGGAATTTGCTTTTGTGTTCTGTGTCTATTAAAGAAGCAGGTTGGTGGGAAGGGTATTATTAGATTTCAGTAGCAATCACGAACTGGCGTATTTAATGTTAATTACTGTGCCCCTCTATTGTTTGGAATTAGAATTGGGATTAGGGAAAAGGATTTCTTTCTTTCGATTAGTAGAATCAATTGATATTGACTTTTTGACGGAAAATTGACTCGTGAGGATAAACCCACGAGGAAGGAAAGGGGACAAGATTGTCCCATATAATAAGGTGTGAAGAAGGAAATTTACTGCTAACAGTTCTGGAATTATACTCCAAAGCACCTTATTATTCTTTCTACTCGCAAAATCGTTAATAAGTGAAACTGTTTGAGTGGGTGCTGTTAGGAATAATAATCACTTTTGTTGATAATTTACCAAAACGGATTGTGGAAATTTCTTTATATGATGTATTTTCCAAATGAGGGGGAGCTATTAGTCATGTCATTATGAAGTTTTGCTGTTTCAAGCAAGAATGGCATATAGAATTACAGGCACACTATCCAATTGAGTCCAAGCTCACCATTTAGTGACTGAGGTTGATTTTAATGAGAGAAGTGGTTTTTTAGGAGGTTGCAATGTGACTGCATTAGTACCAACAAGCATTAAAAGTTAATTGGTTTGAGTATTGGAATTGTGGAATTTAATCTTCTGCTATTATTGCAACTAACTTCTCATGGGTTATGCTCAAATGTGTAATAATTTGTGCCTAAATTCATGTCTGTAATTAAGCTTGACAAATGAAATGTGTAAGAATTAATTGAAACTTGATTTTCAGATGCAAATTATTTAATTTATTGTTGCTTTTGCCGATTCAGTGCCTCATGTAAGATAAATAAGGATATTAAAAAAAATCATTTTTGGTGGAATGATATTTTCTTTTTCTGGTGAGATGCTTTATTAATTCTCAAGCTCTCCAGCTGATGTGGAAAAATTTACTAGGGCATGTCTTCACTCAGAAGCTTAGTAAGAAATTCCTTTTGTTATTAAAGACTAGTTAGAGGATAATTCTCATGGATTTCTGATAACAATACATGTAAATGATGACCAAGTGTATTTGGCATTAGTACTAAGTGGTGTAAATTTAATTTGAAAGCAACTTTAAACCAAGATTTGGTTTATCTTTCAGTTTAGGTAAAATGCTCTGTCTTTTAATTGCCATTATGTTTCCAGGTTGCAAAATTCAAAGATCCCCGTGATGCTTGTGCTGCAATTGTGGCAGAATCTTATCGACTCTGGCTACAGTATGAAACTCGTACAGATGATATTACAGTCATCATTGTGCATGTAAATGGGCTAACTGAAGTATGATGTTTTCCTTTTTTTTCCTGCTTCTATTCATGTATACTTCTTTTCCTAGAAATTCCCATGCATCCATTTCCTCTTGTTCATTGTTAGTAACTGATCTAGTCTTTCAAATTAGCCTGCGGCTGGTCAGTCAGCAAGTTATGGTGATGTTTTACGAACCCCTGTGCCTCAAGTTGTAGAGGTGACAGGTTCAGAGTCCCCTTCCACTTTTGGCTGGAATGCTAGGAACCATCGTGTAAGACATGACTTGTCAAGGGCACGCCTCCGGGCAATTGAGAATACGTTAGAGAATGGACAAAGTTGGATTCCTCCATCTTCAGCCCACAGGAAGACATGGGAGGAAGAAGTAAGCCCCATATTCATCTTTTGCTTCGAATTTTGATTTAGCTCCTGTCTTTTTCACTTTTTTATTTACATTGATAACAACATTGCATGCTAGTATCATATAAAAAAAATTTAGTTTCTCCTATTAGCTAGTTCAACAACTGTGAACCTCTGATGGTGCTTCACCTTCACTTGCCACAGGCACACATAGAACAAGCTTTGCATGACCATTTTCTCTTCCGAAAACTTACTGATTCTCAGTGTCATGTTTTATTGGATTGCATGCAAAGAGTTGAGGTCCAACCTGGGGATATTATAGTCAAACAGGTCAGTTTCATAGCTGAAACTTGAAAATTCTCGAGTGCCATTGCGCTTCAGTTTTTGAAGATTTCTTGGGCAGAAAATGAAGTTATAATTCTTGAATGGAACTGCCTTAGATCATATTGAATTTTTTCTCTTTAATTTTGATATCATTTGTACTTATAATTGCTCAACTATGACAAAATTTATACAATGCAGGGTGGTGAAAGTGACTGCTTTTATGTTGTTGGTAGTGGAGAATTTGAGGTCTTGGCAACTCAGGTTTATAAACTTTGCCATTTGATTGCAGTATCGATTGGTGATGGCTCCATAAATATTCTTTTAGGAAAATATTGAAAATTATCATAGCCAGAGGCAAAGCCAAAGGATAGTGGCACCTGCAGACTTCCAAAACTTCTATAAATATTTCTCAGCTTCCAAGCCAGTAATTTTTCATTCAGGATAATCTTTTGAAAACCACCTTTGTGTTATTTTTAAACCAGTCCACCACTCCAGCTCTTATAATTGGCTTTGCCCTTGGTATAGTCAAGATGAAATCATGTTTTCAAGGTCTAAAGCCAAATAATAAATGCGGCCTAACTTGTACGTAATATTTTCTAAAATTGTGTTTGGTTCTTTATTATCAATGACATGTGTTACAATTCTTGTTCAACATTTATCACAATGGCAGGAGGAAAAAGATGGGGAGGTACCTAGGGTTTTGCAGCGGTACACAGCTGAAAAACTCTCATGCTTTGGAGAACTTGCTCTAATGTGAGTCGCTTGATTGTCTTTTTTCCCCTTGTTGTGGTCCTTATACTAAATTGAAATAGTTCTTTTTGACATTAGAAATATCTGCCCATGAGGCCAGTAAAGTTTCCTCTTGGTTAGACATTAATTTTGTTGCAGACTGTTATCCAGACAGGTGTAAACTTCAATTACAATGCTTTTGCATTTTTCCATTTCTTTTTTTTATTGGAAATATTTAAGGTCAGTTTCATGAGGGCAAGCCTTGACACAACGGTAAAGGCTTGATTTGCTTTTGTTATTGTTGTATTTAAAGTTACTTTTATGTCTTCTTTTTTTTTTCCACGTGTAGCTGTTATGACAATATTATCTTTTTAGCTTGTGAATTTTTGACATTTTATTTTATTTTTCCTGACATTTGGCATTACAGGTACAATAAACCACTCCAGGCTTCTGTACGTGCTGTAACAAAAGGAACTCTTTGGGCTTTGAAGCGAGAAGATTTTCGAGGGATTTTAATGTCAGAATTCTCTAATTTATCATCCTTGAAGTTGCTTCGGTCTGTAGATCTTCTCTCAAGGTTGTCAATTTTACAACTCAGCCAGATTTCTGACTCCCTATCTGAAGTTTCCTTCTCAAGTGGGCAGACAATAGTTGACAAAGTAAGATCTTGCTTGGTTGTGGTTGTCCATTCATTCTGTTCATTTCTTAACGATCTTCAGTATGTTTTTGCAGAACGAAGTCCTTGCATTGTACATTATCCAGAAAGGACAAGTGAAAATCACTTTTGATGCTGATTTATTGACTAGTCCAAATGCCAGCAGCCTCAAGCCTGACATCCAAAATGAGGAGGAAGATGTGCAGAGCAGAAGAGAACTGTCAATAGAGAAGCCTGAGGGAAGCTATTTCGGTGAATGGGCCCTTCTTGGTGAACATATTGGTTCCTTAAGTGCAGTTGCTGTGGGTGATGTTGTATGTGCTTTACTAACAAAGGACAAATTTGAATCTGTTATTGGTTCCTTACAAAAGATTTCTCAGGAAGATCACAAGTATGTTTTAATATGTGCATGTATCAGACAACAGCTTTGTGGTTTCTGCTTATTTGTTTATATGCTGCACTTAAAAAGCAGTGTTTCATATCATTGGCACCATTAATTTGATCATAGGTTGAGGGATAGTTCCAAGGAGTTGAGTAGAAATTTTGATTTTTCATCCCTCGATAAAGTCCAGCTCTCAGATTTGGTAAGAGTTTTCTGTTGCTTTCCAACTTATTGGGCTTGAGATCCTCAAAATAGCTCATGGACTGCTTTTTTGGTAGGAGTGGAGAAAGACCGTATGTTCCACTGATTGCTCTGAGATAGGGCTTGCAAATTTAAGAGATTCAGGTAGATAAATATTTCTCTAATTTCTTGCTTAAAATATGACTAATAAATGCTTTAATCCTGTAAATAGTGGATTTACAAAAATTTAGTCCTTCATTTTTAAATTATTTTTACATTAATTGATCCCATCATACTCAAATTTGATTCAATCAAGTCCTTTTGTGGAGTAAATTGATATATAAAATTAACTAATCTTTGAAGGATTAGTTTTCTTCTCAAATAATCAAATTTGACAATTGATGAAATCGGTGATGTGAAAAAAAATTTTAAGGACTAAATGGATGTAATGTAAACCTAATCTTTTAGTGGCCAAAATATTAATACACTTCAAATTTTTTGTGATTTCTTTTTCTTTGGTATCTTTACTGCTTTTTCCTACATCAGTTAATAGCATTTAATAAAACAGATTGTGATATAAATATAGTATATCTTGGATTTTATTTTTGCTAATGCAATTTGCTGTATGAATATATTTTGATTTCAGAAAATGTGCTTAGTTTAAAGAGATTTTCTAAGCCGAAGGTGAAAAGGCTAGGAAAGGAATCACAAGTTTTAAAAGAGAAAGATTTAATCAAGGGTGTGAGCTCTTCAGCCTGTATACCTCAGGTTTTATGCACTTGTGCTGACCGCATATATTGTGGAATACTGCTAAATACATGCCTCGCTTGCCCTTTGTCTTCCATACTGTCAAGTCCTTTCAGTGAATCAGCAGCACAATTTTGCGCTGCTTCTGTTGTTACTGCCTTGGAAGACTTGCACAAGGTCTTGAATCTATAAATATTCTCTGCTCTTGCTTTTTGGCCTTCTTTGGCTAGTGACTAAAGTTCTCTTTCCCATCGTGCATTTCATATTTTCAGAATGGTGTTCTCTACAGAGGTGTGTCGCCTGAAGTTTTGATGTTCAAGCAAACAGGACAGATACAGGTTTGGAAACTTTTTTCATCATACTTATGTTTATCAGCACTATAGATGGTTAATCTGCCGTGGAATTATGGCACATGGCATTGTGGCAAATGATAGATCCATAGCAGCCATGTTAAAAAATTATATGCCATAATATAAATAATACAAATCTAGTGACTTATACCAAGGTATGTTTACCATGTGTGTGTGTGTGTGTAAAATATCAAACTAGGGTTGCCTATGGCTCACCCACGTTCCCCTGCCTACTTATTTGAATGCAGGGGAAACAAAACAAAACACAGACAAATACGTATGCAAAAACAGAAACTATTTGTCATAATATCAAACTAGGAAGCAGCAATAATGATAACAAATCCAGTTGAGACAAAGGAAAATTGAAAATACAATCCTCCTCCTTCCAATGTCATCTCCATTTTTGTTGTCGATCATCAAGCAGCATCTACATACAACTTTTCATATTATAACACAATGATTCCATTGTTCTTAAGCATGTGTTTGTGGTTGTAGCTGGTGGACTTCAGATTTGGAAAGAAGCTCGCTGGTGAGCGAACGTTCACAATTTGTGGGATGGCAGATTCACTAGCTCCAGAGATTGTTTTGGGAAAAGGCCATGGTTTCCCGGCTGACTGGTACATATAAAACTTGTCTAAAGCCATTTATTCTCTGTAAACCATACAATTCCTCCTGTCAGTGGCACACTTCTTTCTTCGTTTTCTCAAAACATGAAGATAACCTAGAATATTATAACACATGCCGAATGTAAATTCATTTGATCTGTAACCAATATGTTGCAATTACACCTGATGTGCATTGCATCAAATTGGAGTCAACGGTACTTAACATACATTGTCTTTGGACAAGCTCTGAAGCTCTAGAATGTAAAGCATTTTGGGTAATGGTTCTATGATCCTTGACAACATTTTGTTGAAGTCAAGCTGACAATCTTAATTTATGATTATTCAGGTGGGCATTGGGAGTTTTAATATATTTTATGTTACGTGGTGAGATGCCATTTGGATCATGGAGAGAAAATGAACTTGATACAGTTGCCAAAATTGCAAAAAGGAAGCTACATCTTCCTGAGACTTTTAGCCCTGAAGCTGTTGATCTCATCTCCAAGGTATTGCATGAACTAAGATTCTTTTTCTTTAGACTGTGTAGTTTTGCGTGAAATATACACGGTGCATGCATGAGAATATCAGCATACTTACTCTTTTTATTTGTCAAAATTTTTCAGTTACTTGAAGCAGAGGAAAACACTAGACTTGGTAGCCAAGGTCCTGATTCTGTCAAGAGTCACCCATGGTTTAATGGTATTGAATGGGAAGGGATTAGACACCACACTTTTCCTGTTCCACAAGAAATTATTTCTCGTATAGCACAATACGTGGAAGTTCATTCTGAGGATTGTACTGGTTATCCGGGGTCCCCATTACAGGAGGTAGAAGAACTTAATGTGCCTGAATGGCTTGAGGACTGGTAGAAGAATGAGAATGAGTATTAAGGTTTTGTCAACTTTTTGAAGTTTGGCTATACACCAATATTTACCTTTGCTTATTTCGACAAATTGCATTCCAAGAATGCAATCACCCTGAAAATGCAAAGAGAGTAATAGATCCAGAATATTGCCCATAGCTTAATCTTTTACAGAATAGGTAGGGTAGGCTTATTATGGTTATCTTTTTCACCTCTTTCCTTTTCTAAATTTTTTGGGTCATTCCTCTCCTCTGTAAATATTATATATATGTAAATGATTGAATTTGTTTTAATTGTAATCCAAGCAATTTAGGTTTCTTTTCTTGTGTTCTTTCGTTATTGACAATGTTCACATTCACACACACAGAAACATAATTACTGGTTGTGGCTAATTCAATTTTAGCTGTATTGTTACTCTGGTTATTTTTGGCATAGCGTAAGATAATGATACATACACCAGGGAACACTTCAGGGGGAAGGTATACTACCATTATCAAAATTTAACAGCATATCTATTAAATTATTACTAACTAAATAGTGTTTTAAGTAATCAAATGTGTCTTTTACTTCAAACCATGAAATATAATCAGCAAAATTATGGGATTGGCCAATGAGGGGAATAAAAATTATGGGATCAGCATTGTCACATTACGGGGATTAAAAAGTTTGGATATGAAGTTTGAATCAATGTTATCCAAGCTTTTTGAATCTCTGTAAAAGAACAAATCTTCAACCTTTTATTACAGAATTTAGGGGGACCAACATATGAGGTATTATTTTATGAAAATGGTATCACATTTCTTAATAAATTTGAATGTCTATATTCCATAAAAGAAAATCATGAAGGAAATGTCTAACTTGGAAAATTTGCGACAATAAGTCGAGGAATATAAGGAATTCATATCCAAACTTTATGAAGCTATGTAAAAGTAAAAAATATAAAACATTTGGATAAATTCATTTTTAAAAAAGCTTTTCCAAAAACAAGTAAAAGAGTAGAAAAGGTTATGCCAAAAGTAAAAAGCAGCATTAAAAAGCAAAGTAGTTATTAAATTGATGAAGATATTGATTTACCATTTATTATTATTTTTTAGTCATTGGAAGAGAGGAATGATAAGAGGAGGAAGAATTGTGTTTACATTTTCGTTTAAGTGAAAAATTTTTAACAAAAATGTAAAAAATGCATTCAAGGTGTAATTGACGACAAAAATAGAAGGAACCGATGAGGAAAGGAATGTAAAAATTTCAATACTCAAAATTAACAGCAATAATAAAATGATTTTTTAATATTTATAATATGTTAAGTAATAAAGTAATATAAAATTATAATAAATAGTTAAATAATAATAACTCATATAATGTATGGCTCTGTATTTTTTAAAATTTTTAAATAAAATTAAAAAGGCAAAAGTATAATTTTTTTAAAATAGACAATTTTAAATCGATTTTCTTCACGGATTCTTACTTGATTTTGATCGTTTAGGCTGCTTTTTTTACTACTTTTATTGGTTCTTAATCAATATTTTGTTTACTAATTTTTAGGCTGATCAAATCAGATACCTGATTGATTCCTAATCGAATTAACTAGTGCAATGTGGTTCACTGTCTTCACTCATAGTTTCATATTATTTAATATCTATTTACCATTATAAGTGCGCAAGTTATCACATGATAATATACAGACTTAGTTTAGGTAAATTTTCTTTTTAGCAAAAAAATAAATAAACATTTTTAAAACTTTACTGCATACCTTTCTTCCAAACTTGAGTGCATTTGTATTCTAATGGTTATACAAGAAAACCCTTTCAAAGTGTCAGTGAATTCTTCTAATTACTAATACTAACAAACTCTGCCTAATCCAAGGTTTTCCTTCTAATTTTTAGTACAGAAATTTAATTAGTATTAAAATTATAACACGAATCATCACTTAATTCTATTGGCAAATAAAACTCATTCTCTATTTATGCAAAAGTGGCGATTTTTGTGCATATACAAATATTTAGAAATTAAGCAGCTTTATATTGTAAAAAATTTAAGTATCAAAAATCATTATTAACTATTTTTTAAAAAAAATATTAAAAGAGTTATAAAAAATTATAAAATTTAAAAAAAAACTAAAAAAGTCATTTGTAAAAATATTAAAAAAAATTTAAATACTAAAAATCATCATCAGTGAATTGACAATTTTGGCACTATCTTAAAAATTTAAATTGTTTCTCCACATTAAAAAAGAAGAAGAAGAAGCATGATTTCATACTATTTAGCATTAATTTTTTCAGTAACATGCTAGAACTGTTTTTCTTTCTACCTTGAGGAAAATGCATGTTCAATATATTAACTTCACAAAAAAAATTTGGCTTCTTTGAAAAATAACATTTCATGGTTGAAATCGAAAGTGAGTGTGACCTCTAATATCAAATGGCTAACATCATCATGTCATCACATACTTTATAATTAGGCACATGTATCCATCACCTGTTTTAATCTTGTTTATTATTTAATTCTTTTTTCCGTACTCGCAACCATTATATTTTAATCTGATAATGACTAGAAGAGACCTACCCTTAAAAAAAATGTAACTAATATAAAACAATATTGACAATCATAATAATTATTATATAAACTAACATTAATAATTAATCTATAATGACGAATTGACCATCAAACAGCCCTCTGTTTTAGATTAAAAAGAACACTATTAAAAGAAAATTTTTCTTGATTATGTAAGCACCTTGTCTTACTTGTTCATAGCCGACTCAAAATGTGCATAATATAAAACTATTGATAGTGTAGACAAGTAAGTTTGCAAAAACTAGGGGATATAATTGGTATCCTTAATTATGCCTTTATGAGAGACAATGGAATACGACCTATTTCTTGCGTATTATATTGCATCTCTTGCGCCATGAATTAGTGCATACTTCAGACACAAGAAACTGACAAAAACTACCACTTACTTTGAGAAGCTTCATGAGGTTATACATATTATATGTGATTAATTATTCATGCTAATGTCATAAATTGCACACTTGGTTTTATTTTTCTAGTGGTTGACTTGAAGCAAAGTTGGCAATTTACCTTTGGTTATTGGATTTAATCCATATGTGGAAAAATTGAAGGGACTAGACTTTAGAGGAGTTAGAAGTTTTAGGAAGAGTCCTAATATACAACATTAACTTGCTAAAAAAATATAAATAACTTTCTTAAATTGGATATTTACTGATTTTGAATAAATACTTTTTAGTTCTTCAAATCTCGCTCACTTCAGTTTTTGATAATACAGAAAAAAAAATCTTTAACTTTTTAGAGAAAATTGATCATTGTAGTTCTTTTTTATATAGTTTTTTTTATTATAGTTTAAATAATAAAAAAATAAAACGAATATCATTTTGTAAAGTCAGAGATTAAAGTAAGATTTTTGTAAAATGCAAAATTAAAATGATTGAAGCTTACCATTTAAGGGATTAAAATAGATATTTATTCATTTTATAATTATTACGAGAAGATAAATGAGACCCTTATCCTGTTTTTACCCCCATTTATCAACAAAAAGAGTTAAAGAAGAAGGAGGCAATAAAAAATAACTAGCTTGATTCATGAAACCAAGGTGGCATTCAGCTACTTGTTGCCCAAGTTCAGTTGTTAATAATGTACAATTTTTATATGTTAGCAAAAGAGAATGGAAGATGTGCAAAATATGACCAAGATGATTATATTTAAATTAAATGTCTGACACAAATATACAATATTATTGAGCACAGCGGCATGAAGCTGTCTTCTATTATTCTTGTTTGTAAATCAATACAAAATCGATAATGAAATGGGAGCAAAAACTCAATTTTAGTGTTTCTGTTATTTTGGTCATGAAGGGTCTTTTCATTTTCGATCATAGAAAGATTACAAAGTTCTTATGCAGATCATAAGAATTAAGAAAAAGGGAGATTGAAACAAAAACAAGGAATCTGTACCTGCTTTGTTTAACTATATACTTTTTAACAAAAAAAAAAAAAAAAACCTAAAATCTACATGAGGAGGTTGATCAATGGACTGAAACCAAGCATATGTACCTCAGAAAGGTGAGGATTGGATTATACATCTAATGGCTTTTGATTATTCTGAGATTGCTGTGACCTTCTTTCTCTATTCACAAACCATTGAGCTGTTCTTCTGGCAATTGGGAACCAAAGTTGCCTCATTCTTTCCTCTTTAAGGTTGTCTTCAAGGGAAGAAGACTCTTTAAAGACCCTACTTTTCATGCCAAAATCTCCAAATCTAGAGACACCAGTGATTTCTGACATTGACCTTTTCTCCCCAGGGTTCACATACTTTGGTGCATGACTAGAAATTCCAGCAGAATCTGATGTAAAAAGATTATCCTTATCTGAAATTGATTTAATCTTGTTAAGTGCACCAACTTTGCTCTCAAAGGAAATCTTCCTGTCCATCTCCTCCTTGATGTTCATGATTTGCTCATTTTCTCCCAGTGCTCTTGTCGTTGACATATTATCAGCATTTGATTCCAAGTCATTGAACCTGTTGCTTGAAGTAGCACTAAGCATCTCTGAATTCAAAAACATGAGGTCTGAAGAACTCACGTTGCTCCACCTATGCTTGAACACAACATCAGATATAGTGATTCTGTGGTTATGTTTATGATACCCCTTTTGGTTACCGTCACTATCTTCTTCTCCTTTCTGGATAAGCAATTCTTCTTTCTTAACATCTTTTCCAATTTTCCTAAAGCTGCTTCCAATGCTAAATCTTGATGAACCATGATGGTCTTCCTCTCTTTGGACAAAGATCTCTAAGTTGGATTCTTCACCCAGCCCTGATTGATTTACTAGCCGCCTTAAACTGTTTGAATATGTGAAGGTTGTGAGGTCTTCAGAATTGACCTTGTGCCTGCAAATAGGACAACTTGAGTGTTTTTCGAGCCAGTGGTCTATGCAATCAATATGAAAAGCATGTTTGCATTTTGGTAGCAGCCTCAGAATTTCAACATCTTCAAACTTTGATAAGCACACTGCACATTCAAGCCCTTCCTTTGACCCTTTGAGGGAAGAGAATCTAAAGAAGGGGAGTGATTCTATGACAGTCTTGTCAATTCCTGAAAATCTAGACCTTGATCTCACAAGTGCTTGTTGATTTTCTGAGTCACCAAGAGGAGCTGAAGCACTTCTTTGACAGAATTTAGCATACAAGAGAAGAATGAATGTTAGGAAAAACATGAGACCAAGGATTCCTATGACAACTGCAAGGCTTGGCTGGAAATTGGAAACAGCATCATCTGAAGGGTCATTCTGTGCTCTAACTTGGAAGAATAAGATTGAGAGAACCAAAAGGGTAACACCGAGTTGATTCATGGCTCTCCTCAAGCATTCTGTAGCAAAAATTAATGCCAATTGGTGAGTTGAAAGCTTACAAATTTATAATGGGGTTGTTGTGCATGGACATTATTCTATGGTTCTCCCCCAAATAGAAACCTTTTCCTTATGTCAGCTTTCTTGGTTTCTTCTTTGGCTACGTTTTGCGTCTCAATTTGATTCTTCCATTTAAAATATGTCAATAAAATATTAAGAACTCACTAATGACCAGAAAGTGGTAGGGGTGGTTTAAAATTGTATTTAACTCGGGTCTTTGACTTAGTAGGCGTCTCAATGACACATGGTATGACATAGCTAAATTTACTAGTTTAATCCTTACGCCACCTTGCTGCTTATAAGACATTGAAGATTAATCTTTTCACCTTGCGTTTGAAATTTTAATGTTTAACTGAACCCAATTTTGGGTGTCTATATGATGCATGAAATTCCCATATCTTTAAGCAAATTAGTAAATGGGCTTACTAGAAAATAATTAAGGGATTAAAATGTCAAAGTAAACCCCACAAAGGATTAGGGAGAGTGGTAGGTAAACTGGCTTTGTGACCAAACGGGTTAATCTCGCACCCCAAGGGTGCATAAATACCCTTGCAAAATCAAAAAATGTCAAAAGTAGTTATCACATCACATCCCACGTGTCAAGGAGTTGGTTTCGGTCTACCTTTGCAGCTTAGGCAAACCATCAAAACATGGATCTCCCCTCACCAAAAATGGCACACGCTTCAAGAAGCCCTATGATCTAATTATCAACCTAAAAGTACATGAAAAATTAACAATAAAATACTATATTTTTCTACTATTTCAGTCTACAAATCCTTTTATTCACAAAAAAAAGTAACTTGTGTCTTTTGAGAAATAATAATAAACTTTATTCTTAACATCTTTTTAAGAAACCGTGTGTCACTTTTATGGGAGTATGACGATATTTTTAAATTAAAATAGAAGGATATAACATTTTTCAGAATTAAATTTAAAAAGAAAACGATAATCTGATCTGGCTGCATATAGTATGGAATCTGTGGTGCTGTTTAGATACACGACTGATATAATTTTATGTGGAATTAGCTTATTATTATCAATGTTCAATGATGATCATGAATCCTTCATATCCTTCCTAAGTCCCCCTTACAACCTGTTATATTCCTATCAGTTCTTAATATTTTACCAATTGTGGCCAAATTAACTGTATTATTTTCGCTGACCCTGCAAAAGAAACTTAAAAAAGTGTGTTGAAAAACGATGTTAATATAGAAATTCCAAGTTTGATTTTGTCAAATATAATAAAGCGATCAATAAAGGAAATGCTTGTCTTGCCGTTGCTTAGTGAAAGCTGTAATGTTCCAAGACTTCGTAGCAAAGAAGTAGGTGGTTATATATCTAACCCATTTGGTCAAAGCAATTTTCGTTTCCATGTGACAAAACAAGCGGAAAAGATAATGCTAAAGATACGTGATAAATACGAAATTGTTATGGGTTGCCCTTTGGCATTTCTTCACGTTTATACTCAAAAATTAAAAAGTTAATGCTAGATATCGATAATTATTGTTTATTATGCAAGTTCACAGCTCCTTTGAAATAAAATGATGCAATATTTGGTGTGCTAAATTATTTATTTGCTTATGATTAGAAAAAGTAAGAGTATGTGTTACAATGTCTACGTTAGATAGTATGATATGTTAATATTATTTCTTTTATAGGCGATGGTGTGTCTTGTCTAGGTAGTTTCTACATCCTTAATGATGCAAGGGAGGTGAGGGGGATGGTCCTAAAATGGCCATATTGGCTAGATGAGGCCATAATACCTTACACAATGGTTTGGTAATCTAGCTAAGGGATGGGCTCTCACAGGACCAGGAACAGGCGTGTCTCCAACGTCGGCAGGTGGCGGATGTCGCCAACTTGCAGTGCCACAAGCCAAGGTGGAAGGGTGATCATGTGGTGCCATTGTGGTTCCCTAATCAAGGGCAAGATGGCTACACCTAAGGCAAGAGGTGGACTCACTCGGATCATATATGTTTTCATTGTTGAGTCATGTGTTACACACCTTGTTTTGGTACATAATTTTCTTTGCAGTGCATACCACACATTGACAGTTGTAATGTCAACCTCTTGTTATGTTACAATTATCACATGACTAGATGATAGTGCAAGTCATTGGAGAGAATAAATTTAAATAAGTCCTAAAGAGAATGTGGTAAATATTTAGGGTTTGAAACTATCTAGTAATCTAGCAGGAAATGGAAGTTGGATAAGTCTTCAGCTCTTTCTATTTTACTATCCTTTTGACTGAGACTCCGATTGGGCACGGAGAAAACAGAGAAATGGCAGTGAGTTCATGAGGATTATTAATTCCCTTTGAGAAATAGTGGGGGTCCAGAAGTGATTTTCTCCCATACCCCTTTTTGCAAGTTGGCAACGCTGGCAGTGGAAAACAAGTGCAAACTTTCCGGAAGCTTGACAACTGAAGATACAAAAGAATAATATATAAAAAAAATTCTATTTTTAATGTAATACTTTTTCTTATAAAATTTTATTAATTATATATCCTAAAAATCAATTCTCAAAGCTAATGTTAACTAAACTGTAATATAATATATTTTAGAATGCAACGTGTAATGATAACCACACGTGTTGGATGAGTCAACGCAAAGAGGCGTATGCATGAAGGTTGTTGTATTCCAGCCAGTATATAGCATCTTCAGCTACTTAAGAGAAGCTTAAAAAGAAAAGCAAGGGATTGGTTATCCTCTCCTTTTGAAGTACTATTTGGTGCGTAACACAGCCTTAGCATTTAGCAATCAGAAAACAGCATTACTAGTAATACTATTGATCCATAACACTTCAATATAACAGATGATGCTGGGCCATTATTACATAATAAATAAAGTGAAATAGCCAAATATGTTATGAAAGTGTGTACAGAAAATTGGTAGGAATCTCAATCATCTATACAAAAATTATGAGCCCGATTTCCCTGATTCTCCTGTTGAGAACTAAAATAGTAAAAGGTACAACAACTTAATGGGTACAAGGCTCTAGCTGTGAGAAGAGGCACCAGGATTGCCATTTGCTACTGTCCCCAAAATTGCATTTCCTTCTGGGGTGGCTTGGTCTTCATTCGCATGGCGAACGAACTCATCAGGGGTCATGTGAGAACCATGGCATGCACAGACAATTCTGATTTGGTTAGTGCTGTATCTGTAAGTAACACCAGATATTGTTCTTCCATTCGGGCCTGAACCTGAGGTGGATACCCAAGGAAGATTTGGGTAGGAACCACATCCACCAAATTTCACATCTGCAGCAAGACCCGGCTTAATATTTGAAAAATCAATGGTGGAACCTTCCCCTATTGACTGATCTGAAACATCTTTGGCCCTGAGGTTTGTGCTGCTGCCTTTCACATCTTCAGGTTGTGAAGATGATCCTTCTTCAGTGATGCGCTGTTTACTGTCTCCTTTGGTTCGCTCTAATGGCCTCCCTTCATATGGCACAGCCTCGGATATACTATTCGAGATTACTTGCAGTGCAGCTATATCACACAATAACAATGTCATTTCCTCTAAAGGTTCACAATGCATCAAACAACTACCAGAGCTTGTAATTATTTCAAGAATATATTAAACTGCAGCCTGATGAAAAAATGCAAACATTTTATATCTGTAATAACTTTTTTGACATAAACGGTTTCTAAGAAATATTTCAATCTTACATCAGATTTAACAAATTCAATTCAATTTATCAATCTTTGGACCATGATGCATTTTAGAATATACATGCCATTTCAAAACATTCTAACAATTTTTCAATCTGACATACACATTTTGGAGGTTTTAATAAGGAAGATCGATTATTTAGCAATATCTTCAATCCATATAACAATTACCTGGGTTTGTTGGACCTCTCCCAACAAAGGAAGGGTGTAATTGTTGAGGACGAGAAACCAAACCCCACGTGTTGTCCTTCTCCAACATGGGAAGCTGAACAGGAGGATATCCAAACATCACCGGCAAGTTTCCATTATTCACAGATTGAGCTCCTGAGGATTCACCAGTGGCAGTAGGCATCACATGCATCACTCCAGGTATCTGAGGGCTTGGTGCCCCAACAGAACTGGACTCTTTTACTTGAGAAGGGTAAGGTATATTCATCATATTTACAGGTTGAACAGAAAATGAAGTTCCATAAGTCATGTTTGCATGCTTAAAATCTTTTTCTGATGACCCAGTAAACCTCTTCTGCCCACTAAAGTCAGCAGCATTTGAGTCAGCAACTCCACGAACCTCTTTCACAGCATCAGAAGAAGCACCCACTCTGACAAATCCTTTGGAACCATCGCTGTGATGTGAGATAGGCCTGGAGGTGGAGTTCTCAGCTTCAGAGTCTGCCACATCTTCATTTTCTGCAGTTGAACCATCTTCTGTTACAGAAACATGAGATGTTCTTGCCCTTTCTTGTAAATCCCCATGATGAACATCACTGTCATGCTTCTTTTGATTTCGCATCTCGTCAAAAGACATTTTTCGCTTATTTGTTGCATCTAACCGTTTATCTTCCTCAATTTCAATAGGTTTATTACTGTTTGTAACAAGAAATCCTCTCCCATTTAAATTCAAAGAAGCATTATCTTCTTTGGCCTTTGAAAGGTCACTAAAGAAATTCTCCTCTGGCTTTGAGGAATCAGTTCTTCGAGTCCCAGTGATAGGTTCTGTCTTCTGAGGACCAGCATCAAACATGCTCTTAAAGTCATCAACCATTTTGCCACCTCTACCAACTTCTTCTGCCCTAGTATCAGAAGAACTACCACTCTTACTCTTGGGTTTGGCTGATGAGCCACCACAAGATAAACCCAAGCTGAGCTCAAGCCCACTCTCATCCTCCATATTGTAATCTCTAAGTATATCAAAATTCAAAACAGATCAATCTTCCATACCACTCTCTACTAATCAATTTACCTTCTTACCATAAGTAACCATCCTCAAATATCAGCAACTCTGCATTAAGTTTGAAGTTAAACAAGGCAAGCCATATCAGTGGCATAGCACAGTTTTACAGAATGATAATATTAGCATAATTATATTACTATTCACTCAAGGTAACACAGAGAAACAAAAATTCATTCCTGTATATATATCATCAAGGAAGGCTCAGATTTAATTAATACAAAATTCCATGCCGATCACAGTAATCCTGCAGTTGCTGAAGACTCCTCTGCAGCATCATGCCCCATCCAGGGTAGGTTACCATCCAATAAACAAATAATTGAAAAAAATAAAAAAACTCCAAAACCAAACACTTCCAAACAGAACAGAACTTCAAAATCTACTGCAGATTAGAAGAATAAATAACCATAATATGCTAAAAAAATATATTCAGCCAAATTTACAAAGAGCATGGATGTGAATCAAGTGAAAGACCTCACCTCACCCTTGATCCAACCTTCTCTCTCTCTCAAGTGATGTGAAAATCTCGATTCTGCAACCCCAATCTGGAGAAGCCAAAAGCCGAAGACAAAACACCAGCTACAGTAGCAAGATGTTTTTGTCTTCAATTTGGAAACTTTCGTGTCCCAATTCGTTGCTTGAAGATTAAGAATAGATGGGTAATGCTCAAATCGAAGTTCCAAAGCTTACTCTGTGAGTTGCATGATTGAAGAAGAGTATATGAAATAAGGAAATTAGGGTTCACATGGCAATGATTGAAAAATTGGGAAGAGCAATAGCATATAACAGGAAAAATGGAGAAAAAACCTGAATTTGGGAAGAGGGGTAATGAAACCCTAGGTCAAGTTTGCATCTCTCTCTGTATAAGTGGAAAATTGAGACTGTAATGAGTAAACAAAGAAAAAGAGAGAAAATGCTTAAAAGGATAATATTTCTTTAAAATTAAAAATTTTCTGAACGTTGGCGTTGCAAATGTGATTCTTATGTGGGATCCCATTCATGACTGATAGTTACAATTTTTTATTACAAAATCTTTCTAAGCTTAAAATTAATTTTTATTCCTAATTTATGATTTGTTGTTGACTATAAAAACATTGACTTTATATAAATAAATTTAATCGAACTTTATATTACTACTTAGCTTGATTAATAGTTTTTAGTTTTTATTTTAAAAACATTAATTGGATTTATCAAAACATTGTAATTAATCCAACTCAAGCTAGCCGTATCAAATTTAAGTTGATAAATATTTATAGAAAAAAATCAATAAATGTTTCTGAGATATACATTAAAAATAAAAATATCAAAAAATGTATAAATATAGTTTTCATTTCAAATGTAACTTTAACCTAATTTCTTATTTTATATATAAAAAATCAGGTATTAAACTTAAACTTTCACAATTTAATAATTTTATAAAATATAAAATTAATCAATCGTTAATTTAAAATTTATTTTTAATTAAATTAACTTTATAAAATTTTGTATAAAAATAAAAGTAAAATTAATCAACTTTTTATCATATATAAAAAGTTATTAAAATATATAAATATTTAAATTTGACATATATATATATATAATATTTTATGAATATAAATTGGATCCTTATGTATATCACATTATTTTAATACAGCACCTACAAGTAAAAAAAAATTAATTTTAAAAGATTGTCCTTCCTTATTAAAATATATTTTGGTGTCTGTATGTGTCATAAAATAGTATTTGGAAAAAATAAATAATCAATACAAGAGATCTATAGTACCAAAATAAAATATAAGAGAATAGCAAAAAGTATAATATATATATATATATATATATATATATATAACCAATAATATAATAACTGATACAAAGATAGAGATATAAGATATGTATAGTATTTCAAAATTTAAAATAATGATTATAATAATATTACATTTTATTGTATTTAAAAGTAAAATAAGAAGATAATTATTTTTTTGTCTAGATAACAAGTGTAGAGATGAATTAATAATACCTACAGGTCGAATTACTTGTTCAAAGATAAAGATAATTTTTTTGTGTAAATTAAAAATATTTTTATTAAAAAATCATCCTATAATTTTTTTAAAATTAATGTAAGAGAAATTATGTAACAATTTAAAAAATAAAATAACTATACGAAAAATAAAATAATATTTAGGAAAAAGGTAAAAAAAAATGGATATCATACTCTTGTATAAGGTATATCTAAAATGAATCGTATTAATTGATAAATTGTATAATAACTGATTGAAATTCAAATAAACTTTTAAAAATAGGATTGTTTTAAAACTTTGTTTTGAAGAGATAAGATCCCATATATTTGATAACTATAATCCTTAATCCTATCGAACGTAAATCCAAATCATTGATGATTCATTCTCCTATTTAAACCCTTTTGAGTACCATTTTGTGCCTTAAAAACCCTATAATCTTATTAGCTTTGAGCATTTGAGTTTGTTATTCTATTATTTTCCACGTTCCCTTCACTTTCTACGTTATGGCTTCTACAATTCGCCCCTCACTTTCTTCCTTCATGTTACCCTCTCTCCCTTCTTGCAACCCTTCTCAAAAGCTCTCTCTTTTGCATCTTGGTAGCGGTAAGCCAAACTCAGCTCTATCTTTCGTTGACCCTTTTGCAAATAGTCCTCAAAGTTGCTATCTTTTTCATCCACCCTTTTGATCAGTTCAAGTTTTTATACCCAATTTAAAATGTGTTTTGTTTTTGTTATTTTCATTATCAAATTGTGTTAGTTTGTGGGTTATGTTGCATTGGCCATTATATTGGCACATGTTTTCAGCATTGCTTGGGCCTTGGTGCTTTTATTGCATGTTGAGGTGTGTGTATAATTGCTATGAACTGAAACTGTTTTTGTTTAAATTTAGAAATTTTATTGTGTGTAACTTTATTATAAAATTGTTGTTGTCTAATGCAGGTGTTAGACAGTATAATTTTGGCTTGAAAGCATCAAGGTTGTTGAGACACGATGATGGTAACTGCATGGGAGTGATGGCATGTGGGAATCTGTCCCCAGCTGCTACACAGGAAAATGTACTAGATTGGGTCAAACATGACAAGAGAAGAATGCTTCATGTTGTGTATCGTGTTGGGGATTTGGACAAGTCCATAAAGTATGTCCAAGATTAAATTGGTTATAAACCTCTTATACTATATAGTTCTATATTGTGATCATTCTCATGAGAAAACATTGTTGTGATTTTAGATTTTATACAGAGTGCCTGGGAATGAAGTTGCTTAGAAGACGTGACATGCCAGAGCAGAGATATACCAATGTGTTTCTTGGATATGGACCTGAGGATGCACACTTTGTTATTGAACTGACATACAGTAAGAGTCTGACAAACTTTGCTGACATTCATGATGATTGCAGAACTTTGCATTTCATGTATCAGTTTTACATTCTTGGGCATTGGAAACACTTTGAATGTTGATTTTCCTTTAACAATGTGTCAGATTATGGGATTGACTACTATGACATTGGAACTGGATTTGGCCATTTCGGTCTTGCTATTGATGATGTAAGTTTGTCAGGCTTATGAATATCATTTAAAAGCATCTTTCCCCTCTCAAACTCTGTTATTTACTAGGGATTTTTTTTGGGTATGAATTATGGAGATTAAGTTCTTATTACTTGGGATTTCCACTTTATTGTTCTTTTTAACCTATGTATAATATGAAATTTCTCTGTCTTTTTTATAATTATTTACTAGATTACAAGAATAGTGGAACTTGTCAGACTTAAGGGTGGCAAAATTATTAGAGAGCCAGGTCCTGTCAAGGGAGGCAGCTCAATAATTGCATTTATTGAAGATCCTGATGGTTATAAATTTGAACTAATAGAAAAAGCTCCCTCTCCTGAGCCTTTGTGCCAAGTCATGCTTCGGGTGGGTGATCTTGATCGTTCAATTAAATTTTATGAGAAGGTGAGGTTCAATGCAATTTTTTGTTGATCTACAGTCTTCTTATGTCCTTTGCATATCATTAATTTGTTTTTGTGATTGTTTGATGTTTAGGCCTTCGGTATGGAGCTACTTCGAACAATAGATAATCCAGAATATAAGGTACCTTGGCATCCTGTATATCATATGTTTTGGAACTGAAATCTTTTTTTAACTAATGTGCGGATCCCCTTCTAATCAATCCTCTATGGTGCATGATCCCTTACCCAGGCTTGTATTACAAAATTAACATTGTTCTGTGAGTTTATATGTAATACATAAAAGTAGTTAGGTACCTTCTTATTATTGAATAACTTGTTTCAGAGAAAACTTATAAAATATTCTGTTTTCCCTTGGCTGTTGTTTCGTGAAATGTAAAAATATTTGGTTAAGCACTATACCGAACCATAACTTGTTTAGAATGGAAGACTGTTCTGCATATTTTTTCTACCAAATGACCCTTACAGAGCTATAGTTATCCAGGTGTCCATCTTTAATATTTTAAAAGGAAAAATCGAACATGGTACTGATTTTACACGGGGGATCTTATGCTTTGCTGTCTGATTATAATCCTTCCGTATTTAACGAGTATTAGATGGTATGAAACTGTCTGTGTACTCTATTTTCTTTAAAATTACTAAGGCTGATCATCAAACTGTCTGCCTATGAGTTTACAACTGTCTAGAAGCCACAGACATAAGTTGGCAAACATCTACTGGCAGACGCTCTTTGCATAAAGAATTTGGTTCTTCACAATATAATTGTGAATATGGAGCCCTATCATCCTGCTTTTAACTTATTCTCTCTTTTTTCTGCATATTTAACTGACTTATGCTTATATATTCTTCTGCTTTATGTTTCTTTTAAAATCATGTGTCATCTACTGTGCTTTAGGCCATCTTTACAATTCTTAGGTTCAATTGCTTTATTTGCCCAAATATTGTTCCCCTGACCTTATTTGATATATTGGGCATAGAATTAACTTTGCTTCACCTATGCTCTTTTAATGGTTTATCTTCTCTTTTTGGTAGTATGCCATAGCAATGATGGGTTATGGTCCTGAAGAAAAAAATACAGTTCTGGAGCTGACTTACAATTATGGTGTCACTGAATATGACAACGGAGATGCTTATGCTCAGGTAGACAGAATCCCATCTCCTTTGTTATTAATCATACCATTTGAATCTGTTGAACTGGTTTTCACTTCTGCAGTTTTGATATTAGATTTTGCTTTCTATATGAAGGAAAATGACTCAGTTTTTATAAAAATTTTATCGAAATGCTTGCTTGCTACCTTTTGTTTCTTTAATAATATGTTCTTACCTTCTGTTTCTCCCTCTTCACAGATTGCAATAGGTACAGATGACGTGTACAAAACTGCAGAAGCAATCAAACTAGCTGGAGGGAAGATTACTCGCGAAGCTGGACTAGTACCTGGTTTCAGGACAAAGATAGCATCATGTGTGGATCCTGATGGTTGGAAAACTGTATGGCTCTCTTCACTTTTTCAACATTATTCCCACTATGTTGTTTATTCATCATTTCTTATAATGATACATTTGTGAATAACTTGTTTTTCCTACCTCTAATGTGCAGGTTTTTGTAGATAACATTGACTTTTGTAGGGAGGTGGAGTAGCTTTTTGAGTCATCATGGCAATTTTGTTGGAATTCATATCAAAGCTCTGGCAATGAAATGGCATTCTTTGATGAAGCTGTTGAGTTAGGGAATGTATCATACTCAAAATTCAGATTTTTTTTGTTGATGATTGAATAATAACTATACAATAGACCCTTGCAGCAAATATCTTTAGCTTTATACAATTTCATTGATACAGTTTGATTTTGGCAATAACACGCAATTTTTTGTTGTCCACATTTCATGTCTCAGAATAGTATATGACACATAATTTCTTTGGCCTTTTCCCACCACAATATTGTATTAAGGTGTTACTAATTTTGTTTTTGTTTTTCCTTTGAAGGAAGTATGTGTGTATTGCTTAAATATATTATTATATAAACTAAAATGGTGAATGTTAACATATGTCTTATGATTTAATATTTGAAATAATTAACATTATTTAATAAGGTTACTAAATGATCCTAAATAATTCCCTTGATACAATTGTGAGTAGGACCAATGAAAAACAAACATGATTAAGAAATTTGACCCGTTAATTTCAAAGAAAATAAACCTGAATCTATTCTGTTATTTAAATCATTTGTATCTCATTCTTTCTAATGTTTTACGTCATTAGAGTTTAAAGTTAAGATGAGAAGTGCTTTTTTCTCTTTTTATTATTAAAAAATGCATTGGCCCCACTCTGTAGCCTCCTTGGTGGGTCTGAGCTTCTCCATTTTCCTAAATATTTCAAGTTTCAACTTTCAAGATCTAACCACTTTCATTGCACCACACTGATTAATTAATGATAATTAAACCGTTGATGCGTGTAAAATTGGTAGGCAACATAAATTTCAAAGATTCGTGAGTACTTTATTGCAGTTAAAACAAATTGACTCTGATTTTAGACAAATTTCATCTGCTATATTAAGGGTTTAAAGTTTTGAATTGTCGCTTTGAAGAGAATTTAACTTAATTACTAGTTTGACTCAAGGGTTAGTTAGTCTTATTGTTATGCTTATGGGAATACACAAATAAAAAAAAGAAATTGTCCCTTAATCTCTTATGTTTATTATTGACATGAGTGTTAACTTGTGACTTGTGAGATGTCCTTTCTCTCATACGAATTTCAAATGCATTAATAAAATCTTAAAATATTAGCAATATATCCCTTGTATTTGATACATTTTTAATACACTACTTTTTATTAAGTAAATTTTATATGGATTCATTGAATATGAAGTGTAGATTTTATATGAATTTTACCTAATAATAAAAAGTATGTTGAAAAAGTAGACCTATGGCATGTTTCTTTGGTAGAACAGTGTCTCAAGTAAATAATTTTAAGAAAGGAATATATATATTCAAAAAATTAAATTTGCTTGATGCAATTTGAAAATCCTAATGCATTTTTTCTATCCAAAATGATTAAATTGAAATTGTAGCACTAGAGATGAGATTTTGAAAAAATAAAATAAAAAAATCCTTTATCTCTAGTCACCTCCACACAGGTAGAAAGTCATAATTTCCTGCCTTTACCTACCCTAATTTCCTTTCTTGATATCTTATAAATTCCCTTTTTTTTGAAAAAAAAAATAAATTCCTTGAAAGTCTTTCTTTCTCCTTTCTATTTTTATCCGTTACATCTACAGTCACCAAAAAGCATTATTACTACCATCTTTTTCATTAGTACCATGATCAAGCTTCACATGACACCTAAATATTAAAAACCTTAACCTGATTTTATAGTTGTCAAATTCATTTGTCTAAATAATTACCCAAACATAATTTTACAAACAAGTGGAATTGAGTCACTGTAATTCAATTTCTTTGTATTTTAAATTCTTGAAATTAAAAAAATCTCCAATTCTCCTCCAACACTAAAACAAATGAAATGTTATTTTTTAAAGAGAAAAAGTACATATACAGTAGTGACACTGACACTAGTAGGAAAACCCTTCTGTGTTGAAACTTCAAAACCCTTAAACTATAGTCACATTAACAATAACACTCAATGAAGAAAGAAGGAATTGATGTGATGGAGAATACTGCAAAGGGTGAAGATGAATGCCGAAAGCAAGCAGAGCAGAACCACTAAAAGAGCAAGCATGTTTTTATTGAATTGACCCCTAGAATTGTTGCTATTCTATTGGATCAAATTTGATATTGTAGTTTTCTATCTTTTCTTTATAATATCAAGGTTTTATTTAACTTATATTCTTATGCATGAATTCACTTCCCTTTTATTCACTTTGCATTTTGCTTCATTTTTCATTAGTATAGAGTAGGTTGAAGGAAATTCCCATGAGTTTCTGAACTTACTTACACCTGCTATAAACTACACATTGGATGATTAGGTCTGTTTTAAATCATCTTCAATAAATACCTGAGTAAAGGAATAAGAAAAATTATTAAAAATTTAAGATACCATACAAGATTTTTAAATATATATATCTTACATAAATGTACAAAATATGATATGTGCATCGATAACTTCTCTTTAATACATAATTATATTGGTGGGTGGTGATCATAATTAAAAAAAAAAAAAAAAACTTGTGATCATAAAAGAAAAATTATAGTTACATACCTTTCCCTTACCCATATTAGAATGTACTCTTTTAATTTTTATTTTTTACACTTTACAATTTTATTTTGTTCATTTTTTATTGTCATTTTATAAAATTAATCAATTGTTAATATATTTTATTTTACAAATTTTACCTTTAAAAATTAATGTTGTTTGTTAAAGGATAATAAATGAGATAAATATAGACGAATAGTATAATAAAAAGGTTATTTTTTTTATAAAATCTAGAATATCAATTATTTTCTTAATTCATATACAAAATCTTAAATGTCAAACAAAAAAGAAAGAAAGAAGTATTCTTTTCCCAATCAACATAACACAAAATTACATATTTTTCCTAGGCCATGTCAAAATGTCTCAAAAAGTGTAATTAATCCTATTCAAAAGAAGCTTTGAGTTTGTATAATTTCATAATATTTACCATTGCTTGAAAGATTTAGAGGAAAAGAATAACTGTATTGAAATTTTATTTAATTTTAGTCTTATTCAAAATATTGGTACTGAATTTCAAATGTTTCAATAGACAATTTTTTTAAAAAAGAAAAATGTAAGAATTGGAGTTTATATGCTTCTTATAAACTTGTGTTTAGACGTATTGTATGCATATCAATCGGTATGAGATACGAATGCTATGTAAATTTTGAAATATTGATACTTCACAGGAAATTGATAAAAGCATTCCTGTTGCATTGTTTGTTTATTGCAAATTTATTAATATTGTTAACCCCTGATATTAAATTTATTGTAGATTGGATTTAGATTTTTTCTTACTAAACAAAGTTAAATGAAGTCACATGAATGATTCAACGTGTAGTAATTTTTCCATAAAGAAATCCAAATTTATTTTTCTTTATAGATTGATTGCTTATAGACAGCAAGCTAATGATGCGATGCAGCGACAGGTTCACAATAATGACTGCATTGTACATATCTAGGTGAAGAGAAACAACAAAGCAAATTGAGTTAAAGGGTGTTGAAAATGAAAATACTATATTCTTTTAGCCACATATTAAGTCAATACGATTCTCATATTTAACAAAGTGCAAAATTAACAGCGGTGAAGTAATGGGTGTGTTTTGTTTTTGTATGAAACACACCTCAACTTGAAATTTTATAGTGACTAAGGAGTTGACTTGATTTCTGGTAGGATTAGGTCTCTTTAGGGGATTTAGTGGTTCGTGTGAATGATAGGTAGCAATCATATTCAATCTAATCCGAAGTTATGTTTTACCTTCCTAGTTACTACTAGACATCATTTGGGGAGAAAAGGACTGGTTTGATTCCCATTCATGCCTCTGCTTTAGGCACTCATTATTCCTTTTGGTCATAGTCCATGCTTTATGATGTCCATTGTGATTTAATTTCAGCTTATGTAGATGGATTTTTGTCAGTGGCTTTTATGAGGCTTCTAGAAGTGAACATGTTTTTCTCGACAACCAATGTACTAATATATACAACAACAACAACAAAAATCACAACTTCTTAAGATAACCCAAATTCCTAATAATTTCCCTCAGGGTGGTATACATCTTGAAATTAAATGTGTATATTTTTACTACTTAAAATAATTAATCAATTAACACGCACACACAAAATCAATCATCTAACTCCGAGCTTTATCTATGAATGAATTCAATGGTTTGAGAATCTAGTTTCATCAATTATGTATGTACTCAATTGTGTCTACATGTGCATATGTGTTGAAGAGAAAGGAGAGTGTGGGGCTCATGGGACCTCATAAATGTTCATCAGGTATGTATGCAGTACCAAAAGAGAATATAACATATTTTGCAAAGCTACAGAAGTCAAACATAGGAAAACAGCAGTGTGCAAAGATGGGGCCATAATGACCCGATTTTTTTTTAAAGTATTGGCCTCACCCAAATTTCTAAAACCAGGGTCCGATTGAATTATGACCATAATTACCTTGTTTCCTTTCTTTGGTCCATAATTACTTTATTACTTTTACTCTCTAAGTTTCCTTCATTTGGCCAAACTTGATAGCGGTTGTCATTATGGCATATTTCAAGAGGAAGGCACTGATTTCCTTATATATATCAACACCCTTTTTGTTTCTCCTTCTCAGCATCAGCAATGGATGGAAGAGAAAGCTCAAAGATACAGCAGCAACTACAACCCTTTGGAGAACGTTACACTTCATCATATTTTTCCTACCCTTCCTTCACCTTCTTTACTCCAAATGATCACACCCATTCAAGCAAATTTTGTCCAATGCTTTCTACCATGGAATTCAATGAGCTAAACAATGCAAGGGTTGATGTTGACACAGGCAACTCCAATTCCTTTACACCAAGTGAAGATTCATGTGATGCCCCTAGGGGACATTCTTGTGCCAAGTCAGAGAGAGACTCGTCCAGTGAATTAGGTGGTGATGCATCAGATGAAGAAGGAGTGAATTTGGATGAGTCGCTGCTTGATGGAAAAACAAAGAAGAAAATTGAGATATTGGCTGCAATGGTTGGAGTTGAAACAACTGATCCAGCCATTGTGCTGAATGAAGTAGTGAGAGTTCTCAAGGTCTTGAAAAGGATAGATCAGTATTAGTTAAGTGCCTAAACAAATCTAAGAATTTTAGTTCTCCTGTGATGGCCTGTTGAAATGTGACTTCTGTCTGTAATTTCTCTATTCCTTCTGATGTCTTTGAAGCTAACACCTAAATTTGAGCTTGAGAAATTTTCAACTGGTTCTTTCAACTTTTTATTTTTAGTTTTGTTTAGATAAAATTTTGGATCTTCAAAGAAATCTCTATTTTTTTCAGTTGTCCCCCTTTTTAATTTTTTCAATCTATTTTTTAAAAGAATATTTTCATATGATTCTTTTATTAGTAATCTATTAATATGTTATTTGTTTTTATAGCATTCAAGTCGATTTATATAATTTGAGTCAAATATGACATGAACAAGATGTGTGGTTAAACATTTTTTATATTTTTTAATAAAATTTTAGATTTATAAATTTAAAAATTTTGATATTGAGATTTATATACGTGAAAAAAATCATAAAATAATCGGAGGACCAAAGTCTTATTTAAACTTTCAACTAGTTAACACAAAAATATTTTATCATAGGTGGGAGTTTGACAATTTAAAATCACAACTTCTTAAAAGGTTTTCACACGCAATGGCAGAAAAAAAAATATTTGGAAGGGGTTTTGGTGGTCATGATATCAATATAATCTTATTTGATATAATTAAATTAGAATAAAAATAAAAGAAAATGGACGTATAATTTTTTTTTAACTAAAATGACTTAACGTTTTTATTGACATACATATATAAGTAACATTACCATTTTGACTAATCCATTGATTGTCAGGCTATGCAGCATTACTCAATTTTAAGAAGTGTTAGTGTCTTAAAAGTGAACATGAAATAGAAAATTATTGGCAGGGCAGTTACTTTATACATATATATATAAAGTAAAGTATACCCTGTCTTCTGAAATACATCTATCACTTAGGATGTGTTAAATGTGACATAACAAACCTTAAATTTTGGGTGAATATACGAGTTCGTTAGAGTCCATATCCAGACTTGGGTGGAGGATTTAACTCCTCTTAAATAAAATGTGCAAATTGAGAAAATAAGAACTTATCAACTATTAAGTTAATTCTATTTATAAAATAAATTTAAAATCAACGGTACTCACTTTCTCACTTTAATATTTCACTACTTTAAAAGAGCTAAATTATTATATTGCTAACCCATCATAATAACTGGTATTTAGGTTTCATGTTCAGTTGCAGTATCCTTAACCAAATGATTTGTGAACTAGTCATTCACAATCTAACGGCCAACAAGTTTTATTTAATTTTTTCTTTTAGAATAAAAAATTAGGTATTGTCCCTGTTTCAATTCACGTCTAGGACATTATTCAAGGCCTCTTCATATTCCTCATCAACACTAAACGAAGTTAGTGCACTTTACAATGCACTTTTGTAGACTATATTTTATTTTTTTTCTGTGAACCAACGGAGGGTTAAACGAGAATTCAAACAAGCACTCTATCCACAGAATGTTCGAAGATATTTACAAAATAACTAGTAAGAAAAGATTGATGAAGAAAATATTGAACTTAAACAATACAAATAAACGAATAATTAATTCCTGTAATGCATAATTTCATTTAAACAATATTTTAAACATAAATGTTGTGTATAAATTAAAAAAGAACTCCTTTAAAAGAATTAATCCCACCATGTCATAAATATTTTTTATTCAAACAATTACTTTTTCATAAAAGACACTTATAATCTAAGTTTAAAAAAAAAAAAAAAAAACCTAAACTATACGAGGAAAATGCTTCGACTTTTCCCACCCAAAACATGCTAGTCTAACAAAAACGTTATCACGAAAGCTTCTATTAAAAAACGATGATATAAAAATTAACGACGCACTTGACTAGTTGGTGCCCTTTACAATCATGTGCTTTTCATGTTAAACGGCGCTCTCATGCTAGTATGCTACATCTGTGCCCCCATACTTAACAGAAAACCATTAAATCCACAAGCATTCATGCATTTAACAAATAGTAAATTTGTGATTGTTTGGACTCATTATACATCTGCCTGTGTCTTCACACTTTTCCCATATGTGATGAACACTGCACTCTCCTAATCAAATTAGTCAGGTGGACCTCATTGATGCGGTTTTCTTGTTTTCAAGCAAAATTTCCCATTTACTTCATTCCTTGGATAAGGATTGGAAACACCAACATTGTACCATAGATGGGAATTCAAAATCCTCATGTTTATGTTTTACATGGTTTTTGTTTGTCATTCATACCAAATAAGATATTGAATTTGGAATACTTGTCTCTAGGTATCTACTATGGTACTGCGAAAATGCTAGCTCACAAAATACCTCTAAAGATTGTTTGCGTTGCTTCTGTTCACTACATGCAGTCCATCTGACATTATCTGTAGCCAGACAAAAATGTAAAACATGATATACATATCAGTTGAAAAAACCAATGCTCATCTGAAGCAAGAACCATGAAATTAATTGGTAACCTTGCCAAACAAGGCACCAAATATGGAAGTTAGTCTTCATTCAGATCTTTTTTTTCATATATTTTCTTTCCTTTTAAAGACCTACCCATAATCAGCGGCAAACGCAAGTCATGTCCATCAACTGAAAAATAAATTATCTACTCTACAGAAATGTTGGTTAGAATCATACAAATCATAGATAGATCTTCGGAGATCTTTGCTAACCAACAACCATGTCAAAAGCAATTCTCATGTCAAGTTTGTCACAAAGCTGAAGTACTTCCAAAGTGCCATAGCAATCCAATCTGTATGAAGAGGTATGTTCCAGTTGATAATGACATTCTTATAAATACCAATTGTCAGTCATATTTCATCCTTCAAACAATATAGGTCGAAAAAAGAAATCCTGCAAAAGAGAAAGTGCGAACTGATAATTAAGCTGATCATTTGCAAATAGTTTTATCACATGAACGTCAAATATACAGCAAATTTATCCAAACCTTGAACTACATTGGAAATAAAACCAGATTGTTTTCATTCATTCCAAGAATGACACTACAAGTTAATCTGGCTGACCATCAAATTTGAGCTACCTACAAGTAAAAAAATGCTACTTAAGCATAAAAATTTTAAAAGTCAATATGTTGATAAAATCAAAAGTTAACCTAGAGCAGCAAATGTTTGATTGTTCCAAGGTAATTGTATAAAATTCAAAAATTGACACTAGCAGAACATCGAAGATTTTTCCTTAAATGACATTAAGATTTAGACCAAGATGGAAAAAACACAGATATCAATAATCAACTGACCTCAGCCTAGCATACCACCACACAATCATATGCCTGGAAGTATTAAATAAATGTAACCAACTAATATTGATGTTTATTAAGAAACCATTATTTCAGGAATCATCTTGCGAAACCTCTGCATCTCACTCAATACAATTATATTCTCTGCAAACATGATCACATTATCGTTAATAGGAATTGTAACTTACCATCATCAATGATCTGAAAGCGACAGAAGTAAAAACGCCAAATAATTAATAAAATATTTATGAGAAAACTCTTTCAGTTTAGCTTTCCCATGTTCAAAGAATTTTTATTTATGGAAGCTTCAAAACATGGGCAATAAAACTGCACGAGCACTGTACAGGCAGGGAAGATAGCATAACCAGGTGAAAATATATGACCAATAAAGTCAACAACTAAGATGAAATATATTTTAACAGAAACAACTGATAATTCACCTGCAATTCATAATATTGTCAATCAATTTAAACCAAACTCTGTCACCACATATCATATGGCACAATGATAATTATCATCAAGTAACAAAAAGGGAAAATGAAGCTACATTCACACATTAATTTTACATAAAAACATGGATACACAAGATTGCCGTGTGCCACATTTGAAATCTATCTACAGCATAGCAGCCAAGCCTGGGTAGTCTGTAATTTATACCAAACAATCGTTTGTAGTCACCTTAGGAAAAAAGCAACACAAGATGGCCTCAAAAGTTGAGCTATGAAATTTATCAACCTTGCAGCACATTTGCAGTCTCCATGTATCACTTGAAAATTCTGGACCAAAAATATAAATGTTGATGCAAGCAATACCCATGAATTTGCAGCTTCATGTATGTATGTAAACAAGGACATCTTCTTTGATCAGATTCAAAGCTGGAAATACAGTGTAATATAAACAGTCAATGATAGGAGTGGGGCATAGAACAATAACACCTGCTGCAACACATTCATTATGAATAGAAAACTACCATATTGAGCGTTCATTTGGCAGAAGATATGCGCTGCAGAGATGAAATCCAACTACTTGAAGGGCCGATTTTACTACTTCCTTGCCCATGTCCATGGTTGGCAGCTTCAGTGGACAAGGCAGGTTTCAAGGAGTTTCTTTTTGAGGCACCAGTTAAAGTGTACGAGGCAGAGGGTATATTTGCTTCACTAAAAATCTACGAGAAAATAAATAAATTAAATCATGTGTTAAACACTTAAGTCATAATTTTGAAATAAAATAGTGCACAACCAATGACTTATGACTTCGATGTCACAAAACAGTCATAACAAGAATTCATAAATATTTAATTAAAAGATGGCTTACATTCTTGTCAAGAGGATTTTCAGAACCCAAATTTTTACCCACTGGTGATTTAAACTGAATTTTAACACCAGAACCAGTAGCATTACTCGATTTAATGCGCTCTGCTGAGACATCCCCTGAATAAGCATTAATACCAATCAATTAGTAATCATGAACAAGACATACATTTATGCAAAACAACAAATGATATAACTAATTTGAGATGCACCAACCATGATGGTGGTCAACATCCATGGGCATTGCACGACTATTGCTTGCTCCAGGGACCGGCTGCAATATGACAAAAATTTGTATTGTAAGCATGGAAAGACTCAAACCCCTATATTTGTAAAGCAAATAAACTTACAGATATGTGAGGCTGAACTCTGTTCTTTTGTGCCTGTTGGTACTTTAAAATAGTCCAGTCAAATACATAATCGAATTCATAACCTGTCACAGTCACATACCAATAAGGGAAAAATAGAGCAGGGGCTTTACATACGTGTAGATATCAAAACAAAGATAAACATTGCTAACTACACCACAATTGAACATGAATTTTGCCCAGTGAAAGAGTGCGCGTCAATAAAAACCATACTTCAATATTTCTTCATCGTTTGATCTTTGAACATGGCTAGTGTTGTTTAGTGCACCACACTAAGTATGTATGTACAATATATAAATTTCAGAGTTATGTCAAGTCCTACTGTCCTACAATATTAGGAAATATTAGACTATTGTATAAACTATTTATCTTCTAAAGAAGCTGTCTAAGGAAGGCAAGTTACCCATTCACCCTTTTTCTTATCTAAGAAAAATCACTTCCTTACTTTTGACATGCTCTGTTACTAAACAAGACATCTTGTTGAATCCCAACTTTCAGTTATAACTTCCACATCCAAGTACTATTTTACAAGATATATAAATACAATTCTGCAAGTTATTCAATTCCATATTATTCAAGAAATTATCAAAATAATCACCTTTCCGAGAAAATAGGTCCCGAAATAGGCGCTTCAAGAATCCATAATCAGGTCGCTGATCAAAGGTTAGCGAGTGGCAGTAATGAAAGTACGAAGCAAACTCTACAGGGTGAGATTTGCATAACACCTATGGAAAATTACAAACAAATAAGAACAGTGATCAAAACCCATCACATAAGGTAAATGTCCAAACCCTTACCTCAATAGGAGTTGATACTTTCTTCTCACATATTTTATCATACTTCTGCTTCTTTGTTGCAGCCTTTAGGTTTTGCCAAGGAAGGCTAAACACAAATATTCAGTCATTTAAAAGTTAGCAGATTTCATTATATTGCTCTCAATAGATATATGCAGAAACAAAGCATCTAGAGAAGAATGATGTCATACCTTCCTCTGAGGAAGTACAGAAGCACATACCCTAGTGACTCCAAATCATCCCGACGACTTTGCTCTACAAATAAGATAGATAATGAACATGTAGAAAATAATTGTATTTTATTTGGTGTGAAGGGCTTAAATAACTTCTGACTTACCAATCCCAAGATGAGTGTTACAGCTAGCATAACGTGCAGTTCCTGTTAAGTTTTTATTCTCCCTGTGCAGTACAATTTGTAACTATAAATTTTGGCATATTTTCATGGGAATGAGAAGAGAAGAGAAGAATCACAGAAATCCTCACCAAAATTGAAAAACGGATTCAGTGAAAAATTAAAAGATGCAAACCTCACACCCAAAAGGGAAAAGGGGAAAGAGGGGAGGATGAACTGAGTCAATGGAATGCTATGTTAATAAGAAGGTAGAAACCTGTAAGGGATGTGGCGATTGGTTGTGGAGTCCCGATATCGTTTTGCAAGCCCAAAATCAATTATGTAAACCTGACAAGTACAAGCCAATTACACATATACAGCACGTTGATGTCAACAAATAGATGAAGGAATGACATGGCGAATCAACTGTAGATGAAGGGAAACTGCAACAAAGGGTAGTCACCTGGTTTGCCTTCCGACCAAGTCCCATGAGAAAGTTATCAGGTTTTATATCCCTATGTAGGAATCCTTTAGAATGCACATATTCTATTCTTGTCATCTGCACAAAATAAAAACAAAATGAAAAACTCAACATCAAATGCACGCTTCACTCACGTGGCATCACAACACATAACAAAATTTACAACACTGCGACACTGACAAATTTTCCAGCAAGACTAAATAACAGAGCAAGGCTAAGAAAGTGGGACTTAAAGAGCCAAGAGGGAAGGGGTTTTACTTTCTTCTGAGCTGGTTCCATTAAAAAAATTGCACGGGACAAGGTAAAATCCCAAATTTCCGAAATAATTATTATAATCACACTAAGCATTGGGTGGTTACCATTTGATCAGCCAACATCAATACGGTTTTGAGGGAGAACTTTCTTCCACAGTATACAAAAAGATCCTCAAGACTAGGCCCCAGCAAATCCATAACAAGCACATTATCCTCCCCATCTACACCACACCATTTTATGCTCGGAATGCCACCTGCATTAAAAAAAAATTCAAAATTTTCAAACCTCGCCAACTTCCTAACACCAACTCAATCCCTCACACACAATCCCAATAATCAATTACGAAAAATTAAAAGGAAAATTAGCAAAAGTTTTTAGAAAAAGAAAAACAGCATACTTCCTCCTTGAAGAATATTGTAAAGCTTGGCTTCATAAAGCAATTGCGGATGCTTCGTTTTACCGTTCTCCTGCAACACCACACCACCAAAAAAATCACAAATCAAATGGACAAAGAATATGAATCCGCAACAATCAAACATAATCCGCAAAGCAATAATGAAACAGACAAGTAAATGAAGCTGAAATTATACTAATTAATTTTCATTAAAAAGAGTAGGAGTAGGTAGCAGCATACGATCTTGACGGCGACGATCTCGAAGGTATCGATATGCGTGGCTGAGGAATCGAATTGAATCGCAATCAGAACACAACAATGAAAATTAAGAAAAATGGAGAGAGAGAGAGAGAGAGAGAGAGAAGAGAGAGAGAGACCGAGGTAGATTTCACCGAAGGATCCACTTCCGATCTTGCGACCTAGCTTGTACTTGGCGCCGATGATGCGCTCCATGGCTCTTCTACACCAAAACCCTATCAACTGCCACAACAATACAAATGCTTCGATCTCAGAGCAATAACACCCAAACCACTGGTTTTAGGAGAGAAGAGAACAAACAAATATGCACTCAGGGCTATTATTGTCCTTTCACTTCTTTCTCCATTTCTTAGCTCTTTCCTTTTCCCGTCTAGCTCCAGGCTCCGCCTACAAATGGATCCGTGTCCGGGTTCGTGGGTCGGTTCTCTCAACTTTACCCACCTCCACCGAGACAAAAAATAATAATAATAATTCAACGCTAATTAAACTATACTTTTGTGGATAATATCAACAGATTTATTAACATTATCTTTTAGTTTTAATTCTATGATTTTTAGATTGTATTTAGAAATACATGATTAAATATTAATAAGTAATATTTTTTATTAAAAATCATAGTATTTAATATTATTATATTAAATTATAAGTTTTTTATAAAAATAATAATTATATATAAATTTTTATTCCACATATATATCTATATGTTATAAAATTTATTGGTCTTAGAGAGTCATTTAACTGAATCGTAAAATTTTTTATAAAGTATTTAATATAGATATTTATTAGAATTTAAACTTGAAATGATGCATCTGTGAGTTTAATTCACGTGCTAGTGATATAAAATTAATTAATTTTAAGAATTTTAAAATAATAAATAATTTATTTAAATATATTTTTAATTCAGGGAAAAATGTAGACATAATTTTAGCAAAAAATTAAGAGTTGGAATTACGATGATATCAACTTCAATATGACTATTTATAACCAAAAAAAATATTATCAATATACTTTTTGTTTAAATATGTTATTTTATATATTTTAGTGATTAATTTTAAAAAAATTAAACTATTTATCCCATAAATTAATTATTTTTTAAATGTTGTTTTAACATTTTTAAACCATATCAATTAAAGATTGTGTCAGTAGAATTCTTTTTTATAAAATTCTCATGCTTTGTATTTATTTTTAATGAATATATTTTGATTAAAATTTTGCTAAGAAAAAAATCTAATGACAAAAATTAGTATACGGAATCAAAATAGAATTTTAACAGGTATCCTCTCGAAAAAAAAATATATAGATAACTTTTAATTTTATCATAATAATAAAAGTTAGTATAATGTAATTAATGACTTTCTATTTCGCAGTTTCGCTTACAATTTCTTTGCACCATGGAACCATCTTTGTTATCTTTTGTTTAAGAATTAATGTATCTGAATAATTGTTTAATTATTATTTACTAAAATTTTTTAAATGGTAATTTATGTTATAAATTTAACAATAAAATTTAGTAAAATAAACTAAAAAATAATTTATTTTGATAAAAAAAAATACTAAAATTTTATAAAAATAAGTTTAAAACACCCTTTTTTATATATAAATTATTGGTAAGCTCAAGGAATAAAACTCCAAATTTGTTAATTAGTTATAGAAATCAGAGGAAGCATTGCTTTTTGGCAGAGAGTATGTTATTTGTCTACTGCTACTTGTTCTAATTTTTGTAGAGATTCCTTTAATCATGACTCCAAAGCTTGGTTAGATTGTACACGTGATTTTTAAGATACTTGTTAGCATTTTTTTTTATCAGATTCAGGGCACATGAATTATAGTATTTTAAGATTGCACTTGACAGCGACTAATGCCCAGTTTGATCACTGCAGAATTTTTCCAACACACATTGAAAACCAAGTAGCAAGTGTTTGAATTGTTAAAAATCCTAAAATATAAATATGATGTAAAAATTATAATTAGTAGTGTTGAAATAATCATGAATTTAAATCTACTGTAACTTGTTTATGAAGCCTTATAAAATTATAATTACTGTAATTGTAATTAGTAGCAAGTGTTTGAGTGAAAGTTATAAGACAAGATTTTGCTCAAATCTTGGCTTAAGGTTTCTTCATTAAGAATTTAATCACATTTAATAAATCATTAATGAATTTTACCTTATAAGAAACAAAAATTTAAAATAGTGTTTTGCTATCAATATCAACGAAAAAATTTTCATATAAACTCTGGTGAATTATTAATTTACTCTTTCATGGATAAGATAACATTGGAAGAACCCTTGAGCATGGAATGAAGATCAAAATAACTGAATTGGAATACACAAACCACTAATGTTACTCAGTTCTTGGGAAACAAGAATGAAATCACAAAGATTGAAATACAAATTAACAAATGGAACAATGCAGTAAAAAGAAAAAATGATTGTTTCAGCTTGCTTGCCTTCATCATGTCATGTTTAGAATTGTGCCTTGAAACATTCAGGAGGCATCTGTCCATTGAATCTTTTGGTATCTTTGCAATAATCATATATCATGTAATTATTTCTGACCCAATTCAACTGACCCAACTGGGCATAACTCAATTGCTTGTATGTCGGAGAAGTCCACCAATTTGCATTGATATTTAAGGCACATTGGCTAATGCTGGCTGCTCCATTCCACTTGCAAGCCCTTGCTCTAAAGTTATTCAATCTTGCAGTGAAAGGTGCACAAGTCCAATTGGTCTTGACAAGCCCACCTCTTGTGGCCCAGTTATCTGCATTCCATAGGCTGGTATAAACCCTCATTCCTTGTTTGTTTGGGTAAGCAATGCCCTCATTTTCATAGTTGCGGAACACCCTAATTGGTATACTATCAATATACCACCTGAGGTAACAAATTAATGACATAGATCATAATGCAATTAGAAAGGTATAACCTCTTCTTTGTAAAATGAATAATGAACAATGAATAAATCTCCTTAAAGCATCCATCATTTTCATTCTCTCTTTTTAAAATCCTCACTTTTTAGGCTAAACTTCAAAGGAGATTTTTCACTTTAATCATTTTTTGTAAAAAATATCAATGAAATAGAAAAAGATTATAGTAAATGACTTTTTTAAAGTAAAAGTCTAAAATATTGACACTTACTATATCTTATGGATTAAAATGAGAGTTTTTTCAATGGATACTTAATTTTGTGCTGGCAGTGTTTACTAGTTTATCAACTTACACAACTTCTGTGGGATTCCAGTGAATGGTGTAATTGTGAAAATCAGCAGTTGGGTCAAACCAAAGGTAAAATTGTTGCTCCCTGCTTCCATTTCCTTGTGTATATATGTTTGTATGGATAATGTATGGTTGTCCTGTAATGTTGCCCAAGAACTCAAAATCTATCTCATCATGCTGGCTTCCTGTAGAGGATAGCTGCACACATTTGTGCCATGAAGCATTAGCACTTAACCATTTGTAAAATCTATATACTATTAATTTCACTTTAATTACTGATAGTTCTGAAGTTCTACCATATAATCATTATTGCTATTGTTGTTGTTTAATTATTAGACCTTTAGCTTAGTGAACTTACATAGTATGCTGTCACTGTTCCTGCAGAATTACCAGGCACCAGCTTGATTAGAGATTCAATACTTCCAAACAAGAATGCTCTCTTTGTTTGAGCTGCGGATCCTGAAATTCAAAAGCAACACAAAATATTTCCAGTTAAAAAATATAGAGGAATTCATGTAGCTATTTTTTATTACTATTGTTAACACAATGTTTAGATTGGTTACAAATCTTGTCTAAAACTGCTGCATGGATAGAGCAGTGATTAATTTTATCTCTATTTCTCTGATATATTTATTTATAGTTGAAAGCAATTGGATTAGATCATTATAGCCTTTCATTTCTAAGACTAATCAATTTCAACATGTTAAAAAAGCAACATGCTTGCAGTTTCATATTATTTTCTTGATCATAGATGCAACTCTTTAATTTCTACTGCCAAAGATATATATATATATATATATATATATATATATATATATGTTGAAATAATTTAAATTGGATGCAAGCATGGATTTTTTACCTGATGTTTGATCCAACACAAGCTGAAGATCTTCACCCTGCATTAATGCATGTTGAGAACCCCAAGTGATGTACATGCTTTTGGAAATGGTGGCATCTATGATCCCAGGTGAGACTGCAAAGAGGAACAAAGCTACCAACAAAATTTCAAATTTTGCCATGCTAACACCCATTAATAACTTCTGCTTCTGTTTGATGTTCTATTGATTGAAAACTTGAATGCTTTATATTCATGTTCGTGATGTCTTTATATAGCAGAAGCTATGTGACATTATATTTGAAATATTTAACTGATTTCAAAGTATATTGACCTTTTCATAGGATTTGACTTTATGAAATTATTTTTAAGAAGGGAGAGCCAAAAGAATTTATGTCAGTTATCACAAATAAGTTTGACAAGCAACAAGTAAAATCTGGGCACTTCTGTTTTCCTTTATTTCCTGGGTCTTGGGGCAATTTTTTAATAAACATTAAGTGAATATTTTTTTGGTGAAAAAACACTAAATATACACGATTAAATGCTTCACATTATTTTTAATGTTTTTTTATATAATAATATTTTGTTTTCAATACAAATATTTCTTTTCTTTAACAAATAGCCTTAAGTCATTGTTTAATATTTATTTTTTTTATTTATAGATCTTCTATTATATATATGTTTCATAGACACAAGCTATGAAGTTAAATGTAAAATATATATTATTTGACATTTAGTATAGTATATTTAATAATTTTCGTTTTATGTATTTACGAGTATACAATATAAAACTCATTTATTTTTTAATAGTGTTAATATCAATTTTTGAGATTAAATATTAAAACTATTGAGTTTTTATTAAAAATATAAACGTGAAACCACTTTATTTTGTACTAAAAATTTCTTATTTTTAAATATTTAAAATAATTTCAAAGAATAATAGTAACAGAGTTGTTATAAAATTGTAGCAATTGAACATTAATAATATTAAATGCTGTTTTTTTTTTTAAAATTACTTTAATTTTTTAATCAATGTGTTGTGGTTACTTGTTATATTTTTGTGAAAAATGTTACATAGCTGGAACGCGGAGAGAGTAGAATGTCGTGCATAGGACTATGAAGCTATTGTGGAGTCATTACCAAAACGAATAAGAGAATCCTAATTGTGTGGTCGTGCAAGCCTGAATGAGGAATTAACATATTCTTTAATAAAATAAAAATTTAGTCTCTATGTATAAGACAGAATATATGTTTTTTTCATCCTTACATAAAAATATAGTTATGATTTTTTTTGCATTTATTAAAGTTACCATGATATTATTAAATGTTTATTGAATTGGTAAATGTTATATGATGGTAAGAATTAACTCTACAAAAGTTTGGTAATTTACAAACAATAATACATCATTTTTTTTTAATGTAAAGACCAAAATAAAAAAACAACATCAAGCATCAAGAACAAAATAAAGAATTTATATTTGTATTGGCCACATTGCTTTGGGCTGACTTTAACTAACAACGACATCAACGACATTCCTGTTAAAAACTAACAACATTATTTACTGGGTGAAGATATATATATATATATATATATATATATGTGTATTCAAAAAGGATTAGAATAAAAAAAAAAAAAACTAAAGGAAAAAGACATTGACAAACTAAGAGCATGTTTGTTTTTTAGTTTTTAAAAATAAAATATAGTACAAATTTATACTATATTTTATTTTTAAAAACTAAAAACTCTTTTTAAAATAGAAAACAAATATACACTAAAAGTTTACATTTTGAGAGACTAATTTGTTGTTAGAACATAGCCACACTGAAGTATAGGTGTAAAGGAATTGTAGGAGATTTAAGTATTTATTTTTAAGTTTAAGCTGAAAGAAAATAAACACAAAATTGATTGTAAAGTTAATACTTTTAAACAATTAAAATGAATAATTTTTCTTATACCTGATAAGTTTGATGGTAGAATTTCTAAAATTAATTATTGTGCATGAACTAAAATAATATAACTTTTATAAAATAAAAAGTGTGATCATGATACCATCATTATTCTCTTTCAATATTTGTACATAAAAAATGAAGAATTTCAAAATACTACAACAAAATTTCTTAAAAACTGTACATGTAATCCTAAAACTCAGTTAGTAAACCTACGCAATGTGCACCCACATTCCCTTGCTAGGCACCCCATGATGGACAACGAAGAGCAAGTAATATCCTGGAGGAGCAACCTCACCAAATGGTGGTGCTCTCGATCTAACCTTGTAAATTCCTTTGGACTTTTGAACAATTCTCATGGTCTCAAGGACTACAAGCCTTTGATTCATAGATACCCCATGAGTAGTGAAGGGTGGAAAATACATGGTGACCTTAATATCATCCTTGGTCAACACATGATCTCCATCTTGTATTGAGAATTCTATCCCAACTTTGCTACCATATATTAATTTCTTCATTGAAAACTGCTCAATAATATTGGGTCGATACTTGTCTAGATTTTGGTCCAGGTAAGGAGGAGAAAAAGCTTCAACCCTGGTCTCAGTTGGGAACTTATCCGTGTCTTTGTAAGTATTATGAGTGTTGCTACCAGCAACCCATATTTTGCCACTAGGAAGCACTGCTGAGGATGAGTGGTACATTCTAGCTATCATAGAAGGCTTTAACACCCTAAACCTTTGACCCTTAGCCTTTTCTGGGCTATACAACACTGGAGTGAAATTAGGTACCTCAGCATCCCACCATGCAGCTGTGCCATTTTGTGCACCATTGATGAACAAGAGTTGTCCATTAGGGAGTATAAGAACATCACCCATGGTTCTCCTTGAAGGCATCTTTTCAGTGTTCCATGTAGGGTTAGGGTCCGTAATGATCATCCTATTGCAATCTTGAAGAGCTGGCACAAACACTTTTCTAGTCTCAGCTAAATTAAAAGCATCATAAGTGTTACCACCGCATACAATGACCTCTGCCTTGATGGTAGCACCATTGCCATTGGTGCCATCAAGTTTGATAGGGAGGAGAGCAGACATGCCTGAAGCTGGGTAGTTTCTAGAACCACCAGGTAAGACAGGGAAGGTTCGAACCACTTTGTTGGTGTTAGGGTTAAGGAGGAGAGAGCGATTGTTAGCAAAGATAAAGAGATTGCCATCTACTGAGAGATGGACAAAAGGGTAAAGATTATTTTCATCAATGTCTGAAGTTTCATAAAGAAATGGAAAAAAGTAATTTTTCCCACTAACTTGACCTTCCTTTGGAATGAACTCATAGCTAAAAGATTTGCGACCTCCTATCACAATAAAATCTCCATTGGGAAGAATTGCTTGAGTTCCATACCTACCATATAAAAGTAAAACGAAAAAACCAATAATGTATGATTAGTAAAAGAAAAGTAAAAAACAAAATAATACGAGTAAAGTGATTAATTATCTATGATATCATTATCATATATATGATTTATTTTTTATAAACATAAACAAAATTATCTCTTTGATTAATTTGATTGCTAATATTTTAGTTCCTTCACTTAACACATTTAGTATTTGATTGCTAATATTGTAGTTTCTTCATTTAAGGTAGAACTTAATAGACATAAAAAAAGATGAAAAATAACATAAATTCTATTTTGTGAAACTCAACACATTTAGTATTGGAACATGAAGTGGTAAAGTTAAAAAGAAATATTTATCTTTAATTTTAATATAATGAAAACAAACAAACAATAACATTCATGAGAGTGTGACGATTCATATGCATGTATACAAAAATGAGAAAAAAAAGTATCACATTTAATTTTAAAAGTGATAGACACATAAAGAGAAAGAATGAGATATACATATACAAATTATAAGGATTAAAAAAAATTAAGTGAAATTTATTAAAAAAATACATTTAGTATTGGTTATTTGATGTTCAAATTATTAATAAAAAGCTTAACAATATACTTAATTTTTGTAAATATAATTAAAGTAGATTTTTTAATTAGTTTTAAATTTTATAATTTTTTAAAAATATTTATATTATGGATGACACAACTATACTAATTAACCATATATATCATGGATAGCCGGGATCCGACGTTGATTTCCTATTTTTTTTATTTATTTAAATGTCAGCTCCATGTTTTGGGTGGCCCATCTGGTTAGTTCAGCTATCACTGCTGGAAGCCCCTGCGGTTGTTCGGCTGCGTACTCCCCGTTCGCGTATCTCACACTCCCCATCTTTTTTTTTTTTACAAGCATTTCAAAATGACATTTAATATACAAATTACAGCATATTATAAACTGTGATTTGAATTATTTAAAAGTTATAAAGGTTGAAATCAATTATTTGAAAAAAAATTAATTATATTTATGAAAAAAAGAATAGTAATGTTTAGTGGACAAATACCGTAATTACATACCATCTTTCCTCTAACAATGTATTGTTATATTCCCTCCAATCACAGTTTTGGCAATGCCCACCAATGTATCTCATCGTTTTTGCTCCGACGAGGAAACCACCGGAACTCACGAGGGTGCCATCAGGTGCCAGTCCTCCACTTGAGCACCATGGATCTGCTACTACCTGCACCAAATGTTGTTGACATAATGCCATGCAATTAATCAATTTGTACCCTTTAATTTGAAAGTTTCATTAATGAAATCTCATTCTCTATCCGTTAAAACTCAGGTTTCCTTTAATATATCATTTTATTAAATGAAAATTTGACTGCTTATTAAATTTTCACTCTAATACTGCATCATATTAGCAAATACTTTTATTGAAAAAAAAAGTATATTATTGCATATCATAGAATGAGTATAATTTTATTGATTTAATGTTTAATATATTTTTTAAAATATTAAATTTAATCTTTAAAATTAAGCATAAATAATAAAAAATAATAAATTTTTATCAAAAATATTTATCAGAATACAAAATGTATTATATTTTAAAAAATTATTTTAAAATATTTAATATTAATTGTAAAGGATAAGATTAACAAATCATTCTTTTGGCTATTAGGATATATAAAAATTTGAAAGAAAGAAAGAAATATTAGAAAAATAATAAATATAATAAGTGATATGATATGTTAAAGAGTAAATCTTCACTTTAATCTTTGAAATATATTATGCTGTGAAAATTATTTTTTTACACTTATAATTTTAAATATTAATTTTTAGATTAAAAGTCATTAATTATTTTTTTCGTTAAAAAATATTAAAATATAATAATAAAATAATAATTTATCACGTTAAATGATATATTAAAATTTACTTTTAATATAAAATAATGTTATTTTAAAATTTTCCAAAAATAATTCAATTTTATCCTTATTTTAAAAAAAATTTAAGCTTTAACATGATCTTTTCATCTTGTACCTTTTTCTGTTTTATTTTATTTCGTGAGAAGATTATGCTATGACCTTTGACTCCAATAGTGAGAGTTATGGTATTCGAGATCTCCAAAACGAGATGAATTAGAAGGTAGAAGGTAGAAGTGAGGAGCATTATGGTGTTTGAAATTGTAGTTGGGAAGAGTGGTAAAGTTTTATTGGAGCTTTGGTAGCTTTTGAGATCCCAAAACACGATGGATGAAAAGGAATAAGGTATTAAGTAGTGAATACTATTATGGATGAGAAGTAGAAGAGTTACAAAAAAATTCCTTGCTAGAGTTGATATTTATGGCTATAAAAAAATCAAAACAAGTACTGTGGGTAAAATAAAAGAAGATAAAATAGAAGGAAAGAAGAGAAAATAATGTGAAACTTAGAAATTTCACAGGTTAAAGAAGAAATTAAATTACTTTTGAGATATCTTAAAACAACACTGTTTTATTTTTAAAATAAACTCTAATATATATTATTTAACGTGATAAATTATTATTTTGTTATTACATTTTAATAATTTTGTACGACAAAAGCAAAAATAATTGACGATTCTTACTTTTAACAACTTACATTTTAAATTATAAATATAAGTGACTAATTTGCATGTTATATTAAATTGTAGGGATTAAAGTGAAATTATTTTAGTGTTTATCAACCATAATTATTTTTTTAGAATGTTGAAAGGATATAAAGATGAGACGAACCTTGAGTGGCCTAACTTGATTTGTCTCAATATCATATTCCATTGAATGAGCAAAACAATCAAGTTTTTCTTGTCGAGTCTGGCCATCTATGTATGGAACACATGGTTCCCCTGGTGGATATTTCAGTCTAGAGACTCGGTAAACGGTGGCATCATAGACAATCATCTTGTTTGTGGGCATCAAATTGATTTGCATGGCGGATACACCAGAGTCCCGAGAAATCAAATCCCAATGCCCTAAGGAATTTGTTTCGAAATCAGGCTTGTCAGCATTGAGACCCTCAACAGCAACATTTTGGTCAACTCCTCCATAGATGGGAATTCTCTGTAAAGGAATCTTGTTTTTGTGTTTGGCATCCACAGCAATGAACAAGAACGTGAGAATCAAAAGAGCATTGTGCAAAAGAGCCATTGTTTTGTTGGGTAAAGGTGTTTGATGAGAAACCTGAAAGAGGGATATATATAATATATTGGACCAAACACACTTTTATTTTATGTATCCTTAGTTAGCTTTCTGTCTAATAAACCTTCACGTGGGCTTCAACATAGCCATTGGTTGGTTAAGGCATTTACAAAAATAGCAAATGGATTTTAGCCATGTTTACAAAAGACGGGCTTATAAACGGTAGCTAGGTAGCAGTTTTTGTGTTAAGGCATTTCTTTCCAACAAAAAATCCACCTTAGATAATTGTGGTAGCTAGATATATCATGAACTAATGACTATCCCAAAACTTCAAGCTTTTAGGCAAGGACTCAAACACTTTAGAGAAAGTGCTGTACAGTATGAATATGGAATTTGTACCTAATAATAATTCTCATGATTCACCCCATTAGGCTTAAAACATAGATAGTGCATGAGCGTAGTTAACATGTGCTGAAATTTAACTTTTTATTATTAAGGTGATCGACAAGAATATGAGATGACGGACCATGAATTTGATAATACAATAACTATGACACTACCATGTGAAATATTATAAAATTATACTTTATATTATAATAAGTAGAGATTCATGAAAAGTTATATATTTTTACATCTCTAGTATAAATGTTGAAGAGTTTTATTATCCATACAATAATTTATATAAGATTATTATTTTATCTCTTTTTATGATATTAAGTATTTTATCACACACTTCTCTCTTTGTATCTTTTATCTTTCTTTTGTTGTATAAATATAGTTTCTCATCTATAAATTTGTAGTGATATACATCGTTAGACTTCGTAACTGCAAAACATGCAATGCATGTGAAGTGGAAAATTAACCTCCTAACACATCTTCCTTTTGGAGAAATCTCCATATTCTTGGTTCTTTGATTTAATTAAAATATTGCATATAAAAATGCATTAACTAAACAATACATAACAACTCTTGACTTTGTGAATAATACATATCCTCAGATTATATTATTAACTAAGCAAAAACAACTTCATACCAATTAATTCATGTACTCAGTAGTTAAAGTAACAAGTTTTAACAGTAAAAACAACTTATGTGGACTAAAATTTAACAGTAAAAAGAAAACTTTTGGGTCAAAAATAATAAAAAGAATTTTTTTTAGCAAAAAAACTGAAAAGGAATTTTACTCTACTAATTTACATCACGGAGTTCAATTGAGAGTACTATCATCATGTAAATTTTACAAAAATGAAAAGAAAACAAAATAATGGGTAGTATATAGTGACAAAAGTTGAATAATTACAAGGAAAAGTCATAATTTATGATGTTATTTGCAAATTGCAAATATTAGAACGTTACCCCTTTAGACTAATTATGTCACACTTTTGCTTCTAATTAGACCATCTCTGTTGTCTTTTATCTTTTTGTCTTTTACATTTCTCTCCTTGAGAATTTGAGAAATAAAAAGGCGTCATGAGTATATAAAGTAACTATTATTGCATGTGTTAAAATAAATAACCCATTCCATTTTTGGCAGAAAATTATTTTTTTTTCTTTTCTATGTGTATAGTATTAACTATGTACCAGTTAAATGTGATGCGATTTTTCACAGTATAAAATGAGAAACAATTAAGAATTAAGATGAACAAATTAAGATATATTTTGATGTAAAAAGTGTTTTTCTTTAATTTTAAAGATTCATATGAAAATAACGAAAAGATCATTGTTACCAGTCTTTGAAACAACAGCATATAGTTAGTTGAAATAGTATATTTTTAATTGCAAGCCAGGTATTGCAACTAAATTGTCTATCCCATGAACCTGAATAGGGTAGAAAGTTGAAGAAATCTCTATACGGTGGAAGGATCGATGTTTGTTCAGTAGTAGTGTTCAAAAGTGTTAACTTTGATTGATTGGCAGCAAACTTGAAAAGAATAGGAAATAGGAAATCAATACAGTTTTAGATGATTGGGGATGGTAGATATAAGTTTAAGGAAAATGAAGGCTTTAAATCCTTGTGAAAAGTTTACTTCTACAAAAGCTTGCTCTATCATGGTTAGGTTTTTCTTGATAGAATTTCAACCAAATGTAACTTGTTTTGTAGCTGAGTGTTGAGTGGACATCATTATCTATTCTTGCGTTGATTACGAGTACACTTGTTGATAATTTAGCAAATCATTATCTCCAATTTAAATAGTAGTTAAGGAAAATAACATGGGAAAAATGGTCAAGCACTCATGAATGTTGATTTGGCATGCTGTAATTTGATCCCTATTAGTGCGCAAGAATAAAGTAACTTTCAGGTATCAGCATTACGACTTCATTAGAGTGATTGACCTCATCAACGTGAGATCATGACATTGATATGCAGATAAGGTGGAAAAAAATAGCTCCTATTATTTTCTCAAATTGGGGTCTTAATTCCATGGGCTGTATAATAGTTAAGTGTGGTTTGTATAGTTGTTGCTTTGATTGATTGGAAACACAGAAAATATGTGGTTGAATCTTTCTGTGGCTGGTTTTGGAATTCCAGGTATTGATCTATGTAAAGGTCTGTTGAAATGTATGAAAAAAAAATTCTAGTACTTGGATTGTTATTGTACTACGTTAAGAGATGAGTACTTCTTAAACTCTATAATAATATAAATTCAGTTTCCTTCTAAACAGCTGATTTAAAATATATTTATCAATAAGTGCCACTTTTTTAAATATGCAATGGTAACAATATCTTCTTCATACTAACTTTTATATTTGAGACAAAAAAACATGTGACATATATTCACTGCTTTAATTTGAAGGTAAACATGAGGATCAAATCAAACAGTGTTTTTATATTGGTTCGGAAGCATATGTTACCTACCAACAGACCGTATCTTTCCAATCAAGTTGTTTCTTTTAAAAGAGCTGTCTTTTCCTTCGTGACAGGTATATCTATGATCTGTGTTTGTATATGTGGAGATTATGTGTGATGCCTTCCAATAGTTTATATCAGATTATTTATTAAGTAATGGAATTTATGGTTTGATTTTGATTAAATCACAATATATGGTTGCTATTATTTGCTGTTATATATCTAATAAATTTATCAATTAGACAGTTTGTTAGGTTATTATAATGAGTTATTCATCTAAATTTTATATTAAAAAAATTTGAACAATGACAAAGTAAACAAATATGATGATTTGTTTTATATTTATATTTTACAATAATACATATAGTTTTTTAAATGTAGTGAGAACTTGTAGTTATATATTAGGTGAGAACTTGTAATTTTATCAATTTAAAAACTATACATGGAAGTGAGAATTTGTAATTTTATCTTGATAAAAAAAATTATAAAATGATAAAATTATATATAAAAAAATTAGTGTCAAATTAGGTAAAAGCTATATATATTTTTCTCTTTTTTTCTCCATATGTTTAGTGTTTCTTAATTAACATGGGTAAGATATGTTTCCTAAAAAGAAGAAAAAAAAAAGATTTTGCTACTCAACAACTGATGGGTATGTTGACAACCAAAAAAAAAAAAAAACAGATTTAAGGGAAAATTAAAATTTGACCAAAATTTAAATTTTGGTAAAGACAATTATTAGAAGAGAGTTCTAATACAACTGGAGTAAATTTTACACTAATGTACATGGAAATACCCTCATCAAAGACTATAAAGATCAAAATAATTGTAACTATTTTATTTACAAAAATATATAAGAGCTGAGTGTGGTAGTAAACACATCACATTTTCCTTAGGAGAGCACCAAACTTTAAATTATGGAGGAAAAAACAATTATTGAGAAACCCTAGTTGTGTAGAAAAAAATTATTAAGGCAATTTATCTCAAAAGTATTGTAATAATGATGTATGTGGGTTAGCTCGTTGCAAATAATAATAATAATAATAATAATAAGAGTGAAAGTAATTTTGTAAATCTATCCATCAATTTAATTTCTGAAATTCTGAATTTTATTTTTAGATTAATTTAATATTTTAATACAAAATAAAATTAGAAAGAGTTATAACTGTACAAGCAGCTTTCTGATAACTCAAGTATAAGTGGATTATAATTGAATTTTAATACTTGATCCTCCAAATTTTGCTCAAATATGTAATCTCATTACTTATGGTATCTGAAGTATTGTCTATTATCTTTCTCAAGGACCTTACAATTTCATCTTTAAAATGTATCTTGATAAGTTAAGAGATATGATAAACTTTTTTTATATATAAATTAATCTTAACCTCAATTTTTATTAGATGTAAAGCTTGAGTGACCAAAAAAAACATCATTGAGTTGGATTTTTCTTCTTCTTTTGATTGAAAACGCAACGCTCACTATTTTCAGCTTGGTGTCCATCTATGATATCTTAGAGGATATGTCGGTAGAGAATACATGGCAGGTGTTAGAGGATCTTTAGAGGTAAAGAGACGCATAATAAAACATCTCATTAGTTTATTCTAAATTGCATATATTTTTTATTTGAGACAATCATTCGAATTAAATAAAATTATTATAGTTCATAATTTTTATTTTTATTTTTCTTTATCATATATATTATGATCACTTTCATTGCTCGACAAACCGTATATATGACAAGATGGAGATGGGATACAATTAATAATATAAAATACAAGAAAAACAAGATAAAAAGATTGTGAAAGCCTAGCTTTCTAAGAAAGAAAGCAAGCTAGTTCCAATCCTTTTCATATCTTTTAAGAACTGTATCCCATATTCATAATGACATTAATTACTATTTCTATCGAGATTTGTGTGAAATTTTGTTATTGCATATCCCATTATGGTTTGTTTTTTTGGTTGACTACATTAAGCTTTGAAAAAGTTCAATTGAACCAATCAATTTAGACAAAGACAATTAATGAATTCATCATATTCTTGATCTAGACAGCTTAAAAACTTAAAATAAGTCAAAAAGTTTATTAAATTTATCTAAACTCAGTCAAAATTGCTTGGAAAAATTTAGTGTGAACATTTCTTAATTTTTAAATTTAAATCTTATAATACTTTTCTTTATAATCCTTGTATAATGATGTATAGTTTTATTTAACAATTTTTTTATAATTTATATTAATTTATTGCTTAAGATATTATATAATGTTAAAAATTATATTTATTTACCACTAATTTACACTCTAATCACTATTAAATTAATAAATATATAACTTGTACCATATTAATTTAACAACCACTCCAATTATTAAGATATTTGTCTAAACAATTTTTTTATGCTCTCGCTCACATTCTTCACTGAAGAATTAAAATTAAATAACCTATGTAATCCATCAGTGTTGCACCATACTGCTTTGATCATTGTTTGACATATGCATTTTGCTAAATATTGCATTTGATAAGAGAGTATGAAATACGTGAAACGATAGCATATTTGTTACATTTTTGTTTATTAATTAATTTCTTTTAAATTTAGAAATTTATTTGATAGATCAATTTTCGGTAAACTAAATAGTACATATTTTATTTAGAGATGAAAAATATAATTATCAATTTTTATATCATAAATCTATTCATTTTACACTTACACATGCTGATATTTGTATTAATTTTTTTTTATGATAACCCACATAAACATTATTTAACATTTTCTATATTTTAAAAATTAATCAAATAATTAATCATATTCAATCCTATTCAAATCAACCTTTGTGAACAACAAAATTTTTTTCTTTAAATATTAACACAATTGCATTAACTGAAATTTAAATTCAATATTATAAGTTAAGTTAAAATATTTTTTTATTAATTAATTTGTGTGTTTGATAGTAAATATATTATAATTTTTAGTTCTTTAAAAATGAATAAAAGAATGCAACAAGGATTTATAAAAAAATTATGAAAGAGTATCATAATAAATACTATATTTAAGAATTTACTTTTGCTTACAAATTACGTGGCTGATTTTATTTAGAAGAATAAGAATATTATTGTTATTGTGTATTTTTTTTAAAAATCTTAACTATTTATACTCTAATATATTTTTCATCCATTCCAATATTTTATAAAGTATTTAATTGTCATATATTATTAGTATGTAAATCTTTTACACCGACAACCAATCAAAAGTCATTCTAAATGTAACTTCTAAAGTAATTATAATAAAAATCAATAGTTTTTAATTATATATACCATATATAATAATAATATATAATTTTTTTTATAACTAATTGGTCTAAATGACAAGCGACATAATATTGCTTAAATAAAATTACTTTTTATACTGCAATGTATTTAAATTAAATTTAGTGTTAATTTTATTTTAAAAATGAGTATTTTGAATAGTTATACACACATTCTCATTAAGATATATACATTATCAACATTTAATTTAATTTATAATTTTTTATTTTTCAAATGTTAGTTATTTTTCAATTTTAGCTTTACTTAAATTTTAATTTTTGATACACTTTATTATTAAATTGATAAAATATATGTACACACATATATTTAAAATCATTATAATCTTATTTTAGATATTTAATTTTGATACAGTTGATAAAGATGGTGTGTCGTGATTTTAATTATTTATTTTTATATTTTTTAGTTTTAAAAGTTTTATTTTTTAATATATTTTATTTAATATTATTCCATCCATTGAAGTCTCACGTCAGAATAGAGTTAAGGTCATGAACAATTTATAAACATCTATATCTTTCAACTCTTAAAGATGTCTTTTAAGGATAAAGTCGTGACTCAGGTGCCACATGTAACACTTTTGATGTGGTAAGTTCAATCACAAAGTGGGTTAGAACAAAACAAATATGGTAGAATATTTATTATTAGTAATAAAAATATTTACTATTTTAATTAATTTATTTTTATAAATTTTATCTAAATTTAAAAATATTTATGCAACGTACTATAAATTTACTATTTTTACTTAAATCTAAACTACTTTATTTAAATTAAAAAAATACTTATATAATGCACGAGTTATTTACTAATATATGGCATGGAGAGAGTGGCATTAAATAAAATCTTCCACAAAATGACAACGTTAAAATTAAAATTCTAAGCATTATAGTTTACTTTCATCGTAACCAATGTCCATATTTTCAGTTTCTAATACTTTCTTTTTGAAACATTTTCTTGATCAGTTATCTTTTCATAACTATATGATGTGAAAGCAAAGTTTAACGTAAGAGCTGGATCCATTCAAAATTATGAGTGAGATATGCATTGGAATAAAAATGGAGTTTGCACTAATGAATTGGAAGATATGTATATATACAGGCCTAGCCTTTATGATGATCATTCATGTAGCATCCACTTGGAGTGATATCTCTATTAACTATTTTGTCTGGATTATTCTTTTCACTGATTGACACTAATACAGCTGTTTTTCCATCATTTGCCTCTAGAAGTTTATTCATGGATAGCTTTAACACTGTGTACATAGGTTACGGAAATATAGCAAAAGTAGCAAACTTTTAAGAGCGCCATGTTTATCTCTATAGGCAACCTAGCCATCAAGCATTTCTGTAAAATTCAGCTCTTCTTCATGGGACATGACTGTAGGGTGGTTATATCAGATCATGGAACTACAGAGTCAAAAATTAACATAAAAATTTCGTATTTTTTATAAGTTAAAAATAATTTATTTCTTCAAATTTCAAATAAATTAGATGAAAAATGTTTAAAAATAAAAAATAAGTTAATTACTACTTAGTATTTAACTTATAAATACTTATTAATAAATTTATTTAAACTGTAACTATGTCATATTTTGAGGTAAATTAACAGTATACGTAGTTTCTCAATCATTTGGTTTTAGTCTTCTTCTTTTTTTTTTTTAATGTTTAAGTCAAAATTTCATCAAAAAAAGGACCATACAAGACACACTAGCTCCTAAAAGCTGTGCTTATAATTAAAGTCACAAACTAGCAGATGATAAAAGCAACCCAAATTAGAAAGGAATCTAAAACTTTTAAACTCTGCATGTACCAGAACTTCCCTAATTGTCAAAAACCTTCAACAATTAACAGTTGATTAACTTTCTGTCAGAACTGTCATTTAAAGACTTTTCCTTGTTTGAGATATGCTTTTCTATTTTGATTGCCTAATTTTAACACGTGAGAAACGAATTTCTTTCCGGCTGCTGGAAGTGGAATATAAAAACAGACTTTTGATGTAAAATTATATTGAAAATCAATGACTGAAATTACAAAGAATCATTGTTTGCACTTGATTACTCATAAACAATATCATTACTCATCAAAGTTGCCAAAAAAAAAAAAAAATCCCTATACACAATTTCCACAATATGTTACGTATAACACACATTATATGTGTGTATTTCTCTAGAGAATTTTCGACTCAATTATCAGACATTTTCCGAAATTAAAATAGGCATGATGATTTTCTAATAGTGATTGACATCATTAATTAAGTTTACACGGCTCCGGATTAATTCATGTATCGTATTTCTATCGAAAATTCAGTTAATTATGTGCATCTAACTGCGGATGAACTAACTTGAAAATAATAAAATTCAAACTTTCATGCTTCGAATCATTTTCTTTTAAGTAATTAGAGTTGGGCTAGCTAGTACAGTAAACTAGATTGATAGTTTTCTGCAGGTATTAGCTAGATTCAAACGTTTGTATATCCTCTTTTTTTCAATAAAAAAGGAAAAAAAAAAGTATACATGTCTATACTTAGCTTATTTTTCGTGTCAATTAATTTGAAGTCGAAAATAAATAGATTGGATTAAATATCCTGCATATCTCCATTTTATGTTGCCCTCTTCTTATGCGTTTGCACCATATACGCACGCTTCTTAATATATGACTAAAAATACATTAAATATACATTATATGCACATGCTCAGCTATACTTTCATATTTATGAAGTAAACAAAGTTCACCTGAAATGTCAATTGGCTTCCACTGTAATTAACAACCATTTACAGTAATTTGCTAATATGTTAACGCTGGTAAAAGGGCCTTATTTTGATTACCCACGACTATGGTAACACACTCCCAAGTGGTAACCAAATTTGTGCTTAGCGATTGAGGGTCTTTGAAATGACAAGAATTTGAATTTGGAGGTACATTTGCAGGGCGATACAACCATAATATTTTGAATGAAAGTTAATCTTAGTTACATGGAAAACTCAACATGTGTGTGTGATAAAGTGAGTGTTATTGTGAGTCGTTAATTTGGATAAAAGCTACAGTACGTGATTCTTACACATAAAAATGAAACTAAAAAATATTGAGTGACCATAACATGCATCCAATTTAATGTTGGCTGAAGAAAAGAAAATGAAGTACTATCTCAGTTCTATAAGATTTTTCATGATCAACCCTTCCCAGCTTTCAGTACCATCTGTCACATAAATGGAACCTTACCTCTTAGCACATTAACGAAGATACAATCTTGAATTCATGAAAGATTCTGCATACTAACTAATGGAAATTACCTAACAAAAATAATTAATGATTTGAGATTATATATAACAACAAGACTAGAAATCGTATCAATAACTTCTCTTTAGTTCTTTGCACAATTTATGTTAATGGAGAAAGTTTGCATTGCTTTTATGCATACAGTCAATCGATCTATATCTTCCATGACACAAGAGTCTGATCTCCACATTAAACTTCATAACAAACACATTGGCTTGTTCATGTGCTTTTGCAATTCTTAATTGTAAATAAAATCATTACAATTACTAGAATTGCCACTCTTCCTAGTGGCAGATCAAAGTGATAATCTTAGTTCCAAATCTGGTTCTTGAGTGTCACTTGATTCAGAGTTCTGACTGCTTGAGCCCGCGGAACCACTTCTATGCTTCTTGGTATCTACGTGATGTGAGTCCTATATAATTATAGTAGCAAACATAATGGTGGTCATTTTGAATTAACACATAGATAAATGATTTGGTTGCTAAATTTATCTTTAATGCGTAGAATTTCAATGATATATATATATATATATATACATGTTGAAAAATTTACTTACATATAGGTTGAGTAAAGGTCTAGTTATGTTGGATTGAGTGGTGGCATTGCCATGTTCCCATCTGGTTTGCAACAAATAATTAAATATATATATCAGCTGGAAATTCGTCATGACAAGTAATTATAGAACAAGCTGATCCGAAGAACAAAAGTCCATCGTGTATAAACACAAACTTTTTTGCTCATGTATATATCAATGATAAAGGATTTAATAGGGCTGGAAGATTTCGGTACCTTGCACTATTAGTTGACTGATGAGAATCTCCATATCTAATGTTTGTTGTTTCATATTCGGGTAGGGACATCTGCACAAGCAAACAACGTTGTCCAAATTAAGGATCCTCCAAACTCACTCGAACCATATATGGATATTTCTATATCTACGGTACTCACATGAGCATGTTATGAGAAACAGAAGAATTATTACCTGTATATTTTTGCAACATTTTGAGAATTAATTAGCCAAACTGTAACTACAAAAATGATTGCAATGACATATTTTTTCCTCTTTTAAGTCACATTCTATACTTCAGATACTTTTCAATGAGGCCAATACATAATCCATCGCTTATCTCCTAGGGTTACTTAGTACTACCCTTACACTTTCAACTTTAACCGAACCTAAATAGACGACAGATGATTCAAATTCACAAAAAAGTTAAGATTGCTAGGGTTATATAGTATACATAAACTTTTCTAAAATAAGTTAAATACCATGTCATATCATTTCTCCAAAAGGAAAAAAAGATAAACCACCGCGATTGCTATGGGGACAATTTCAGCCCACTTGGATATATTGTTTTTGCAGTTATAGTTAAGTGATGACAGATAACAATTATGAAATCATGTGTGGAAAATGTTCACTCATCACAAACAAAGGAAAATGAATAAGTTAAATATATATAGTACAAGTAAAAATTATAGTATACCAGTAAAAGTGTAAAATCAATTGAGATCGGTTGAAGAAAAGCCAAAACTACACATACCACAATGTTGGGTTGGAAGCCATATGAAGGTGAGTATGATGTAGATGACGATGAGTAAGAAAAAGATGATGATGGTACTGATGAATAGGGTGTTTGCACCCTTGGATCTTCCTGCACGTTGACAAGGAATTAATCAACAAAACCCCCCCAATCAAATTCCACAAATCCAAGTAAAAAGAAATTCTATTTTTTAAGCAAAGGGAGAAAGAAAAAGAGAGTCTTACATTGTTGAAGTTAGATGGGTAAGGACCGTGCAGAGGAGGGTGATAGCCACAACCCATTTGACCATGTAATCTTATTTTCTCCAATTGAGCAACACCAAGTCCTCTTTGTGGTTGTTTTGGCTTGTCTTGATTGTTCTTCTTTCCTTTTCTTGAAGAAGAAGAAGACCCACTTGCTCTTTCATTTCCCATGTTTGGTTCTCCAAAATAACTGCTACCCATACTCTTCTCTTTTTCTGTGTTGTCCAGTGAAGAGAGAGAGATAACTATGATTGTGGTGTGGCCTTTTTTCAAATCCCGGAAGAACTGCTCCCACTTCTGGCTGGGAAATCAGAGATCTCTTTTAAGCTGCTAGCAAACCCAGGAATAATTGCATCGCTGGATCAGATTGTGTATAGATTTCCATGTTAAGTTATATATATACGCCTAGATTCTATGCTCTTTATCTCTCTACCTCTCCTCTCTAGCTAGCCTCTATTTTTTCATTGATTATTATATTAATAATTATTACATTATTATTTATTATTTATTATTTTTCTACCCATTTGTTATATGGACTTTGGAGACTATCTCTGAAAGCGATTGTCTCTCATTTAAAATGTTTAATAAGCTGTATTGGTAGACTCTCTGTAGCCACGCGCCACACGGTTGGCTGCAAGTGCAATTTTTTTTTATTATTTTGTTTGTCTTCAACCGAAAATCCTCACAACTAAGCTATGAGATTAACGCTTGGATTAGAAGTTATAGTTAAGGTAAAACCTTCCTTAGAATTGTAATCGCATTCTAATCTCTGACATTTCAGGTAAAATTTTGTCCAAAGTTACATTCCAACTTCTACTCTATTGGATGCTTACATGTTTATTTAATGCAAATCTTCACATATAGTTAATCTCAAGCTTGGATAAAAGGTGAAGATTGTGTTAAGCAGTCTACAACGTGAAACGTTTTGTTGAATTTCTAATCATCGAGATGGTGTTGCATCTTTATTTATTGCTCCATATAATATTGCTTATTGAATATTTGAATTGTTTTTCTTTATAGATGCTTGATCAAACTTTCTTTCCATTAAAAAATTGATTAGTGTGTGCTACGCAATACATGCCGGCGATGATGATGAGGTTGGCACTTCTCATTCTCTCAGCAATCCGCATATATAACCTTCTAAAGTGGCATGTAGGAGATTAATTAATTTTCTTTGATTCTTCTCTAGTCGATGGGTATTTTTAGGGTACTTTTATATAAGATTATTTTGATTACACTGATCAGAGTAGATTACAAAAAGCTGTGTACCAATAAAAAAAAATATAAAAAGAAACAAAGCCTTAAGTAGGTTCCACTCTGCATGTGGTTTCCTAGTTCTCGGTCAATTTGTCTCAGCTGATGGTACCCTAAAGGGCCTGAGCTGAAAAGCACCAGCTGTAAAATTCCATACAAGTAACTTATGAAGAAGGGAAAGTAAATCAATCTGTTGGTGAATAATTTAATACATTATCAGTAATATTAATCTAAGACCAAATCATGTGTGAATTCCAAATCCCAGAAGTCTTTCATTTTTGCAGTTTCAGAAGTAATAAATTTTCGAGTAAACTAGAATCCACAAATTTATTTTTATGTTGATCCAAATCTAAAAGTAATAAAGATGCAAATATTGCTTAATTAATAAATAGGGCGACATGAAGATTGAGATAGCTTAAGCAATATATACCTAAAACAAAAAATAATTAGTACACAACAAATGAGATGCGAAATATATGATTATAATAGTAATGGGATTATAATTAATTGTTAGAGATACCAAATGATCTAATTGGACTGTTCCACGCATGGTTTGTGGGACATATTTTATGAGTTGTTTGTGTGGTGGAAAGTGAGAATATCCTCCAATTTGTTCGCCAGACATGTGAACCCATGCAAATTACAAGAAACCCCACTAACCCCACCAACAGTATATCATTTGTTGCTTAAGCGGATGACAGATTATAAACATTTACATAGTGTTATAGTTAAAAAGAAAATATGATTTTGTTGCTTTACGTTATTTGGGGATCTGCTTCCTTCCCTTTCTTTTCTCTTTACTTTCTTTACCTTTTCATTCTTTCTCTTCTTCTAATCTTCTTGGGGGCTGATGGAATTGCTGACCTAAAAGGCACTTCTTATTTATTTATTTATTTTAGTCTTTATCGTCCATTGCTGCATCCACTTAGAACTAATCAGTAGTGACTTAAAAATGCAGACAATTAGTTTAAACTACACCAATCTATTTAGGGACCAGGGGCCTCAGCTCATTTAAATATTGGTTTTTGTCTTGTGATAATTATATGATGTACATTCACATTTAAAGATCATTTACTACTATTCTTATTTTGTGTATTAGTAGATTTAAACTTAAGACCACATATAAACTAGCCAAATTGTTCCTTACTAGCTAATAGTACAATTCTAGTGGCTTATTAGATTTTTTATTAAGCTCAATAATTTACTCTGACGTTGGAAAGGAAGACTGGAAGAACCTTTCACCTTAAAATTTTGTGACTAAAAAATTCAGTTTAGGCAACAAACGTAATTAATTGACATGGATCAAACCCTATTGGATATACTTACGTAAACAATTTGAGCAAAAAAGAATAAGCTTTAGGTTTCAAAACAAACATGAAAAGCCTGCAAAAGTCAACAAACACAAGGTTTTCTTTTTTCTGTTTAGTCAAAGTTTACCAGCTACAGTTTGTGTTCCTATAATTACGTTAATATAATGCTTTGTCCCGTCTTTAAAAATAATTGATCGTTACAAAGAATGATATTAATTAATAGGCTTAAATAAATATAGTATGTTTAAATAAGGGCTATTTATTTTATATGAGTGTAAGATTTAAATGAATCAAAAAACAATTCTTAACCATGCAATAATACATGAACAGTTTAGATTAGAAGTTATATAAAGTTAACCACTTATAAAATTATATCACAGAAAAAATTGTCATTTATATCATGGAAAAAATAAACATTAAAATTATCTATACTATTAATTGAATTTAACTTTAATACATTATTAGCATAATTTTTTACAAGGGGTTCTCTAACCCTTAGAGCAATACATATTTGTCACTTCAAGATATACAATGAAACTTTAAACATTGGATAGGATTACAAAATTTAATTAAAAAAATTAATCATTAAATGATAATCAACTAAAATCACTAAGTGTGACTTTTGAAGTAATTATAATAAAAATTAATAATTTATAATTATATAATTATATTGTATATATATATATATATAATTAAATTTATATTAATATCTTCTTCTCTGACCAATTTAACTTTTAATATAAACATTGTAGACCTATACTATGAATTCGATGCATTGTACTAATATTTGATGCAATATTAGTTTCTATTAAAGTTATTTGTTTATATAATTTATCATATTGCTAAATAGACTTGCAATAAACTTAAGGGTTCTCACAATGGTGTAAGTCTCTATTAAATTTTACTACTATGAATTATAAATAGAAATTAATCTTCAGTCTTTTAAACTTGGATACATTATATGATCTTTGACTTTGGGAGAAAAAGAAAAATATGAATTTGCAATATATCTACACTAATAATATCATTTCTATTGGCTAAAGGTCATATACTAATTATAGAAACGAATCTATCATCAAATTATTAGTAAATGACATATTTTGTCATGATTGAAATAAAAATGTGGGTAATTTTTTCAAGTGATCAATAAAGAATAAATTAGAAATGTCTAAATCCAATGATTACGAAAAACTAAAATTTCTAAAACAAGTAAGTATAGTTTAGAATTGTCTCATCAATTTTGTTAGAAAAATAAATATGTTTTAAAGAAGTACAAACAAATAAAGGGAGTAGATGGAGATCATAGAATAAATGAAAAAGACTTTTGTTTTTCTTTGATTGAGTTAATTGAGAATTACAATTTAAATTATGAGGTTGTAAATAAGAGGAATATTAAAACTTTATTCTTTTAAACAAATTCAATTCACTTAAACTATTCGTTTCAAACACTGAAAGTCTCGCACCCTAATTAAAAAGCCCTGTTCGGCCAAGATATTTTTATAGTCTACTTTGAGCTGTGTTTGCATCGTAAATGTACTTTCCACCATATCATTATTCTATTGCGCGTGATACTAAGCATTAAGATAAATGCAGTCTACTCAGCCATGATTTGTTAACGGAAAACGTATTCAATCAAATCATGAAACAGGTGATTTCAATATTATAATTCAAGATAATTCTTTCTCGTAAACCAAATTCCTCTCCTTCATTCATGTATCTTGGCATTTTCCTTTTTAGCATATGAAAATAATGCGATTTGTCAAACTACTAATAGAATCATGCCACGTATATTGTTAGTCATGCTATCTTGACATTATAAAATATTCATATGAGGGCATGTAAGATCATTAATATAATAATCAATATATTAGTTCGGTAAACAATGCTCTTCTGTCTCTTTTTCACTTAAGTAATTCAAGGTTTGAATTCTAAAGGATATAGCACAAACTGTGCAATCATCCTATAGTTGATGATTAGGTTTGGTGTTCACGGTCGTTCTTCGGAACTTGCTTATAATTCAAGGCATTGAATGGTTCTATTAGACTTTAAAAGATTTCATATATAAGCAAAGGTGTATGCTTTCAAGATGAGGTGCCTGATTAATATGACATTCACCAAGGAATATTAAACCTATAAAAAAAGGGTAGGGGGAAGGAGAATTGGGAAATCAATCGATTTCATAATATTGGACTTCAAAGTTAAGAAATTCTTGTTTCGTTACTCATGAAATATTCTAAACTATGCCGTTTTTATTTTTCATTTTTTATATTTTTGTCCAATTAAATTTTTATGCATATCTCCATGTACTTTTCACTTAAAATTAATCTATATTCAGGGCTTGATCAGATAATCCTTTAATATTATATATTTAAATTTCATTTTATAAATAGTATTGTAACTTAATTCCTGATTAACAAAATATTTTTATTCATAAAAACTGAGGAATGTATTATTTTAGTCCATAAAATTATACGTATATGTTAATTTAGCCTCTAAAATTACGAGACAAATTTATAATTCTTAAAATTATTAGAAATTAATTATTTTGATTCTTAAAGTTATAAAATTATTTATTTTAATCTCGAAAGTTATAAATATATGTCAAATAGGTAAAATATATCATAATGATTATAAACT